CAAAGTCTTGAGATGTCAGACTATAGCTATAGTCAGATTTCTGTTCAATCAACGTACAAATGTACGAGGGGAGTTTACCTAGTATGGCTTTATAAATTAACAAATACCAGTGACTGAGCCTACGAAAGATCAAAGATAGCCACTATGATATGCAGTAACTAACATGCAAACAATGTGCAGATGCATTCATGTACAACAGATCACTGTAATCCAGAACCAGTTAAAACATGGTAGCAACCAGTCTTTTTCTGGCCTCAAATGAGAAACAGGACTTGTTTCGAAAATAAAACCCTCAACTTTTTGAGAAGATTATCAATCTGAAAAAGTCATCAAGCCAAATACAGACATATTTGTAACAAGTGACAACCTCTAACCCCCCCCCCCCTTCAATATTGATCAATTACAATTCAATCAATTACAGCCATTTCAGGCAGAAAACAAGTACCTGAACATGTGCACAGATGGTAAGTGAGCTGGTGGAAGAAACTCTTTTCCTGTCCCAGACGGAGTCACACAGCAAGGAGGGAACTGCAGAGTTAGCAGACTTAATGTCCTAGACTTATATAACACTTACAGGGAGGTGTGTGTGTGTCATAAAGATCAGCAGTATAGACAAAAACCTGACGGGTGATTCACAAAAGGATTGCACAGCTTTTGCAACTGCTAAATCTGCACAAATTATACAAGAAATCATGTAATTGTCAAAGCAGCCACAAAGGGTGAAATGCACCTCTAACTGCACTGCAAAGCAAATAGCGTCTCAGTGCTCCTGTGCGGTTTGCACATATTTAAATTATGTAATATACAAATATTTCGGCAAAAAATTGGCCCTTTTCTTAACAAATTAGCTACATTGCAAAAACAGTCTAATTCACAATGGTCTGTGCTAACAGCTACACACAGTTACAGTGAAATTATTAGTGTCTTCAGAAAGTTGGTAACTAAAGCGCACTGACAGACTGGGGTGTTAAGACTTATCCAAAATTCTGTGTCTCTCCGTTATGTTTAAATTCTTGCCTGAAGTTTTGAGGAGTGCCTCTGTACCTTGTCAGTCAGGACCTTTAAAGTCTCCTACAGACTGTGAGGTTTTAGCAATCTTGTAAGTTTAGTACAAGTTTGGGTAAACATGGGTACGACATCAAGTTTGAGGTATGCAAACTGTACAGCTGTAGCTCAGGAGGTAGAGCAGGTCGCCCACTAATCGGAAGATTGGCAATTTGATCCACAGCTCCCCCAGTCCACATGTCAAAGAATCCTTGGGCAAGGAGCAATGGCCTTTTATACACTTGAAATATGTACAGGAATATAACTGCCACATTTCAGTCCAGAGTGTTGAGCTGGATTGTCTCTAATGTCACATTATTAATAACCTAAAGATTTGTGGGCACTATATACTGCTGTGTTTCTGTGTCTGTTTGCCAGCTGCTAGGTTGCTCACCTGGCAGCTATAGCTTTGCCGCTATTTCCTTTCATGAATTGTCCTTCTTTACTGGATTATGGTAAGAGCTTGAGGGTTGGAAGGTTTTCCTCTTTGCTGGAATCTTACACATTTCTTTTTTGCCTCCATGGCAAGCTGCTATCCGTCTGTTTGTTTGGGTCTAGCACCAATGCGTCATTTCATGCTGCATTTCTGTTGGTTGGTTAGTAGACATAGGTTGTAACAGAAGTCACACAGTGAGATAGTCATCCCAAATTTCTGACACTGTCAGAATTTTATCCCAGGCTGTCTTTGATTGCAAGACCATGACAACCATCCTTTTTTTTTTGTTTTTTTTTAAGATATTTTTTGGGGCATTTTTAGCCTTTAATGGATAGGACAGACAAGTGTGAAAGGGGGAGAGAGAGAGAGAGAGGGAGTGACATGCAGCAAAGGGCCACAGGCTGGAGTCGAACCCAGGCCACTGCAGTAACAGCCTTGTACACGGGGCACCTGCTCTACCACTAAGCCACCAACACCCCCATGACAACCATCCTTGAACCTCTCTCACTGAGCGACGTAGGACCACTGCTACCACCAAAGCTATTTCTATATTTCTTTCACGTTGGTCATCTTTTGTGCGGGACAGCCCAAAATCCCACAGTGTAAAAGCTGCAAAACTTAATGGACCTTTGGACCTTGAGACAAGACAGAGGGGTCGCAAGTGAACCGAAATCATGGTGCTATCACGGCGGCAATCCACTCATTGTGAATTTGCCCCTCAGAGTGCTGTCCCTGTAACACAAACACACACACCCACACACACACACGTCCTGAGTGTGCACTTCAAAGTCTATTTTAGGAATTTACTAGCTGCATAAAATTACTTACATCACCACAATGACCTTAAAATCCAAACTTCTACTCTGTGTGTGTGTGTGTGTGTGTGTGTGTGTGTGTGTGTGTGTGGAAGTTATATTCCTGTACATATTTCAAGTGTATACAAGGCCAACACTGCCAGGATTTGGGATTAATTTCTCCCTTTGCTGTGTTCAAAACTTTTCTCAAAACTAAGGCACTTTTCCTGGGGAGTTTTGTGTGCAGGAGAGAGCTGATTAAGGCTTCTAATCTCCAGCCTGGTGACTCCAATTGCAAGAGCAGAGATGATCTCACAGGGATTAGCCTACACTCTGTATGCTCACAGAGTTTCTCCATCAACATACAGATTAGACTGTTTGTATGCTGGTGTAATCGAGACATTTACAGTAGACGGTGTAAGCCTGTTTTTACTAAATATGATTATAGTGTGTTAAAGGGGAATGCCACCAATTTTACAGAGTGACGTAGTCCTGGGGAGTAACACTCATCCTGCCCTGTCACAATAGTTGTATAATGTCTTCTGTGGCTCTGGAAGAGCTTTGTCAAGTCTAAGAAAATAATCCTAAATATGTCATAATGATGTCATCAGAGTTATCTCAGCTTGGGCTTGGAGACTAAAATTTATAACAGAAAGCCTGTATTATAAACTATGGGGGCTTTGAGTTTGAAACTGTTCAAGCTTTAGGTCTTTATTTTTAGGGCTGCACAATAACTGTATTTTTGCACAACAGACACATTGCAAAAGACTGCCTGAAACGGGATGAAGTTTTTAAAAAATATATAATTTATCAGGGTCCAACATTAACACCAGCCAGACCTATATGTTAGATTTTCCGTTTGGCGAGTAAATCTCAGAAGGCTATATGATAGCATCATGCATTTGCTGCAGATTTGTCGGCTGCACATCAATTATGCGAATTTCCCGTTCCACCACATCCCAAAAGTGATCTATTGGATGGAGATCTTGTGACTGTGGAGGCCATTGAGCTTTGTGACATGGCACATTATCCTGCTGGAAGTAGCCATTGGAAGATGGGTACACTGTGGTCATAAAGGGATGGACACAGCAACTCAGCAACAATACTTAGGTAGGCTGTGGTGTTCAAACAATGCCCAATTGGTACTTAGGGGCCCAAAGTGTGCCAAGAAAATATCGTCCACACCATAACACCACCCTACCATCTGAATGTCGCAGCAGAAATCGAGACTCATCAGACAGGGCAACAGTTTTCCAATCTTCTGTTGTCCAATTTTGGTGAGCCTGAGTGAATTGTAGCCTCAGTTTCCTGTTCTTAGCTGACAGGAGTGGCACCCAATGTGGTCTTCTGCTGCTGTAGCCCATCTGCTTCAAGGTTGATGTGTTTTTTGTCAGAATCAGAATCAGCTTTTTTGCCAAGTACGTGTGTACATACAAGGAATTTGACTCCGGCAGACTTGCTCTCAATGTACCAGAATTGACATAAGTACTCAAATTTAGGCAAGAAGTGGAATATACAGAATATACAATATACAAAAAATATACAACTATACATCAAATATAAAAAAATATATACAAGGATGCAGTGTTGTTTGACCTGCCACTCTTTGAGTGTTTAGGAGTTCATCAGAGCGACAGCATGGGGAAGAAACTGTCTTTGTGATGGGTGGTTTTGGCAAACAGTGCTCTGTAGTGCTTATTGGAGAGGAGTTTAAACAGATTTAAACAGACGTGGTCTTCTGCGTAACTTGGTTGTAACAAGTGGTTATTGGAGTTACTGTTGCCTTTCTATCGATTTGAACCAGTTTGGCCAGTCTCCTCTGACCTTTGACATCAACAAGGCATTTTTACCCAGAGAACTGCCGCCCACTGGATATTTTCTCTTTTTTGGACCATCCTCTGTAAACCCTAGAGATAGTTGTGCGGGAAAATCCCAGTAGATCAGCAGTTTCTGAAATACTCAGCCCGTCTGGCACCAACAACCATGCCACATTTAAAGTCACTTAAATCTCCTTTCTTCCCTATTCTGATGCTCAGTTTGAACTTTAGCAGGTTGTCTTGGTACCATGTCTACATGCCTAAATACATTGAGTTGCTGAGTGGCCTATCTATTTCCTTGGAAACCGTCCAAGGTTTGACTGAGATCTAAATATGACGTCAGTGGTTTGCTGCTCCTGGATGTCTTTTTGTTGTACAAATGCTGCTTGGTGCAACTCCAAAGAGTTTGCTGCTCACTAACACTAAACCACAAGCTACTACTTCACTTACAGCTTCATCTTTCAAGGCATACGCTGACATGCATCTTAACATTTTCATTGAGTCTTGCACGTCTGAAATGGCACTTTTTACTCTCTCAAAGAATACATATATTTATGGACAAAGTCTTATGATGAAAAAGAAAGGAATGTTACACTACGCAGACGATTACCAGCAATTTGTGTCATACATTCTGCTTGTGTCTGCAGTTTGTGGCAATTACACTTTGTTGGTGGTTCAGTGTCTAATAAAAGTAACACTAAAAAGTGCCATTTTAGAATAATACACCCTGTCAAGCCTATGTGTTAAATGCCATGCCATGCTCTGTTGTGATATTGATAGTGTCTTGTTCATGCTCTACTCATTCCCATGCATTTATTAATCTGCTTTTCTGTGTGCATTTGTTTTGACATTGCGCTCTTTTTCTTTGTTTTTTCGCTCCATGTTTTTCTGCATGTGGCTCCTCCATAGCTTTGTACCAATGGCTTGAAGCAGACCGCCAAGGCAGGGATCCAGAAACTGCAGCCACAGGTAAAATACCATCCACTGTTCACATCTTCATAACAGAGCGCAACACCTCACACTGTCTGCATGGCCCGCTTGCTTTACCTCAGTCAGCTGCTCACCTCGTAAGCTATGTGACCTAATATGATGTCAGCCATGCCCCGGTATAGATTTACAGCTCTAAAGTGATTTCACTGGAGAAAATGAATGGGATTTTTACAGAATCACTTCATGCACAGACCAAGTTTATCAGGTTTGTTACACTTAAAGCTATAGTGCGTAACTTCTACAGGTCAGTAAATGTCCGTTTCACCCAAGCCACTACAAGAGGAGATGACACAATGCTGATTAAGCCGATCGGCTCCTCTAACATCTTGCGGTATTTTTCAATATATATCATTTTTAGTATGCAACATTCCCGCGCTGGCCACAGGAAATGCTTCCTCACAACAAGAAGGGAGGAGGAGGAAGAGCAGAGAGTGTCATAGCAAGAGGTAGAGCGCAGGTAGAAAGAGAAAGCAACATGGTGGAGAAGCGGCCGAGACAGAAGTTCAGAAGCGGATCACAGAGCAATCAGCTGATAATAGAAGCAACAATAATAATGGTTTGAGGATTATGGTGCACTACATACAGCCATGTTCATATTACATTCTTTCTTTATTTAGAGTATCAAACTAGCTGACGTGATCCAGCAATCCAGGCTGATTTTGAGAGAAAAGAAATCACTTCAGTCTAAATTTGTGTAAGGCGGACATCACTTCTATGGTCTCCAGATCCCTGTGTATTACGGGTTCCACCACCCCCACCTGGATTACTTCCTTCAATACAGTTCATCCTCTTAGCCTCTCTCTCTCTCTCATTTTCTTTCTTCATGGTACAGTATTTGGGTCAACTTTCTCTGAGCTTGTTATCCAAATCAGTCCCTCTCGCCCTCCCTGGTTGTAGCTGACTATTTTTACCTCCGGCCCTCACCTCATCCAAACCCTAATGAAAGAAATTCAGTCATCCTGTTTCCCTGCCTCTGGGTTATTGTTTGTTTCCCTGCTTGCAGACCAGAGTTTGAGGAGATAATGAGAGCAGAGGGTGGAGGGGCTTAAACATGGGGCATCTTCTCTTCTCTTTCCTGTTTTCTTTCCTTTCCTCTTCATCCTTTCCCTGTCACCTTCTCTTTGTCCTTCTCGTGCTGAGAGAGATACAGATACACAGCCCTGGACCCCTGGGGCACACAGCTAAGTAGTGAAATCATGATGTGTGTATTTGGATCTGTGTGTGTGTGTGAGGGAGAGGTAGACAAAGAGATTGAGTGTGTGTGCGCAGTATGTCCTCAACAACTTGAGGCCACTGCGCTGCTGTTTGTACATGAATCAAATCAGATATCGCCTTATCAGGTGTTGTAAAAGTCATCTCATCCTTTGTGTACAGTAGTGTGTGTATTGTGCAGGTGCAGGGGAAAGAGCTAGAAGGAGTCAACCCGTGGCAGACAGTCCACCCCTGACTGTGAAACATTGTTTTGCTTTGTTTTGTTCCTCGAGCCTCCTTAAATGTCAGCTAGCCTTTTCATTATTCATCTGGCGCTGCCTCTCAACCTTTCACCTTCTCTCTCTCTGTCGATCATTGAGGCCTCAGGGGTACACACAATGCAGTTTAGAGAGAAGCATTGAGTGTAAACATAATTGTGTTTATTTGCAAGAAAGCTCCACAGGGTGCAACAGATCCTGGCTGGAGGCATTATGTTGTCGTTGTCCATCCATCCCATCCTTGTGAACATGATATCTCAAGAACACCTCAAGGGAGTTTCTGCAAATTTTTTATTAAACATTTATCATAAACGTTAACCTGGCTGGTGGCACACATTAACATTAGCCGTTTTACTATTAGCATTGGGTGACAGCCACATTAACTCACCCATTTACATTTTGCATTAAGCCTTAAGGCTTAATTAAAGTTACGCATAATTAAGGACTAGGCTGCGTTGAGTGACAGGCTGTCTACAAGGTGTCACCACAGTCTGTGATTCAGATCCACCCCTCACCCCTCTATAGCTCCACCCTCTCATCCAAATATGGTCACTTTTGGCTCCAAACATTCAACATAGTGATGGCCATAGTGCCAACCTCGAGGCTTCAAGGAGTCCACAAACCAATTATTTTTACATTCTATGGTTTTACTGACAGTAGATAAACACAGTATGAATAGTGCTATAGAAATATACATTGTACTGTATTTATCGAGACAGCTGGTAAACATCAAGAGAGTATTGAGTCTTACTGGAATATGATAAAATATTCTTTAAAACAAAGGAAATTAGGATTAAAGGCCTATGTATAATGTAATAAAGGCTCCTACAGGTAAGATTAACAGGTTCTATTTGAGAATTTCTTGTAATTGTAGAGAGTCATTGTGTTAGCCTTGTGTTAGCCATATCATCACACAAAACCCTTATTGATCCAGTGACAGGGCCACCCTGGAATGATCAATGATTAAATGTTCCAAATGATCAGTCTGCCCCTCCTCCTTCATCCTGCACTCATCTTCAGTAACCTTCTGACCTCGTCCCAATCATATAAAGGTCCATACTATCTGCAGTCAATACACCAGTGCTCCCAGTTACAGAGCTCATTCACTCAAAAGAAATCAATGGAGGTTTGTCTCCTTGTTGTAGCAGAAGTGTCGGAGATCTGGTCGCTGAAATGTAATGAAATGGTGGTGATTATTGGTGAGATTTAATAGTCCACAGAGAGTCATTACAGAGCGACAGATTTGACTCCAGTATGAGAGCACCATCAGCACTTCATCATTGAAAAAGTTGTGAGTATTTATCCTGTTGAACTGCCCCAGAGTAAGACTCGTCATCATCTTTTTAATTGGTTATTGTCCCACTGTGGATAAATGAAATCAATGAATTGACTTGATTCAGAATGGCTTTCAACTCGTGGATCACTGGTCTATAGCTGACTGCCAAAGGAGACTAGCCAAAAGAGAAAGCCCACCATTGTTGTGCTTTTAATGGTTGGTTTACCCAAACTCCAAAAAACTTTTGGAAGTACTTTGTACTGAGGAATTAGTCATTATGATGTCTAAAGGTTGGATGTTGTATGTTTCCTTGTTTCCTGTTAAATCAAACACACCAGGGGAGAGAGAATGCGACAACAATGTTGTATGATATTTTTGACATTACACAAATGACAATAGTCAGCAGAGCAAAATAGGTCATTAAATTAGGGAGCAAAAAAAGAAAAAAAATATATATATAAAGTACAGATAGAGAAACGTGTATATATATATATAGATGCGTATTTCATATGTCTCATATGTTTACCTTGTTTTATGAGTTTGTGTGTGAAAACAAACAAACATAAAATAAAAGATATGGAGTAGAGGAATAAATAAAAAGCAGTCTGTGAGCTGTAAGGAGATGGACTCTGGCTTTTGTATGTTGTTGCTCGTGTGTGTGTGTGTGTGTGTGTGTGTGTGTGTCATAGGTTTACTGTGTATATATAAGTTACTCTGCTTAGGATCAATATAGAAACAATTAACAATGTATTGATACAAAATTATAGATGCAAATTGTAAAGAAAAAAACTCATGAAATGTAGGACTTAATAGAAGGATCTGTCAGAGAGTGTATCAAGTTTTTTGTAAAGATAGATGTCTTCATATATGTTACATTGTAACACGTTGCTCTTTCTCCACCTGTCTCTGAGGACAGAGCTGACACAGCCTGACTTCTCTCTCTGTCTCTCCCTCTCTTTTTTTTATAGTTGCTATTTGAATTGTGCCATTATGAGTGGCCATCGGGGCCTTTTTCTCCATTTTTTTGGGGGGCCCCAAATATTTGCCTGGTCTGCCTCTCCTGACGGAACACCACTATCTATTGTGTAAAGATATAGCGTCCTAAGCAAAGAATGAAGTCATGCCACCACTGTTAGCTCTGTTATCACTGTTTATGGAGTAAGCACTGTTAGCTGTTAGTAGGGGTGTACCGATCCATTGATCTGGATTGATATATTGATTTAATGATCAATGATCCAATATCATTGATGTAAAGTGAAAACATTGATCCATATCGTATGTCTAGCATAGGCTTTTAGTCTGTGTCACTGTCAAACAGTGGCAGGCAGCTGGCAAGCAGCCAAGAGAAAGACAATGAGGATAATGTTATTTATGCGGGAATAAATCAGCAGAGTGGAAATATTTTGGTTTTCAGAGAAAATACAGGACAACAGACAGAGCACATGGCATATGTAAACAATGATGTTATGAGATAAAACACTAACATAACGTTACCTGCCTGGAACAGCATCTCACGCCGCTAACTTCTTGCTTTAGCAACATTAGGTGCGCTGTTTTAACAATGTTCGGCTGAAAAACCGTGCATGCAGGCTGAAATTCAACCGTGCTGTTCTGTCAGGAGATGCAGTGACTTAAACCACCGGGGAGTAAGAAAAATAATAATGCTGCATGTAATTCGTTAAGCTATGAGTAGAGGAAAAAAGTCTGCTAGCTGCTAGGCTAATTTATGTTAACATACTAAAGCTAATAATGGGTGATTAGCAAAAAAACAATTGTTTTGTCCATGAACCTTGACAGTTATTACTGAGCTGAATGTTAATAGTTTTGTTGAATGATCTTGTCGTCAGTCTGTGTTTAATGGCTGTTTGGAGAAGTTGGCCTTCAGGGCTTTAAGACAGATATTTCTGAAGTTTTATGAAAAAGATGATGGTTTGGGTTAAAATGAAAAGATTTCTTCCAGAAAGGTCTCTCTGACAGAAAGCCCTGCAGGTTAACTTATCCCACTTGCTGTGTTATTTGTGTCGGTGGAGTCAGATTAAAGTGAACTTTACTGTAGGCCTATTTATTATTTATGTGTTGTTTATGTGTTTTATGGCCAAAAGTAAAAAAAAGAAAGAAAGCGGTGGCAGTGTCTTCTGTAACAAACTGTGTTAAATGGCCAGATAATATTGCTTAATATTGATCACAGACCCCTGAATTGTATTGAATCAAAATCGTATAGTGGCAGACTTTGTCGAAAATATTGTATCATGGTCTAAAGAATTGATATAATATTGTATCGTGATGAAACTGGTGATTTACACCTCTAGCTGTTAGCCACTGTCTCAGCTAGCACGTGGAGAACCGTGTCCAGACAACTCGTAATCAACAAACCTTACACAGAACCCCATTAAGCTTTTCATTCGAGTAAATTTCTGTTTCTCCTATAATTAGTGAATGATGTAGTTCCCTTTGGGAAAATTACAGGCGTGTAAAATGAAACAAATAAATATTTTTTTAAAAACAATTATAAAATGTTATGTAAAAAACTGAAACGTAGGCTTTTATTTTGCTCTTTTTCTATCCAGAGCTTTTGATATCCCTTCTGCCATGATACCATCATATTGCACTTAGGCCTACCTACATTTCCCATATTTTCTGCCTTTGTGCATTTTGCTGATGCTGTGATTCAGAATGATTTAGAATAAGCCCAGGGTCACAGTCCATTTCTATTCTCAATCACCAAGAGCAATAGTGTGACTGTGGTTGAGTGGTGCATACACGGAGAGCATTAGAGGAGAGTAAGACTGTGATGGAGTCAGTTGTCTGAAGACACAGATGTAGTGAGACAGTAGGTAATATAACCAGCTCTGGTGGTTAGCTGAGCAGCTGTTGGGCTGTCCAGCATTAGACACAGATTGTCTCTGCTATGTGCCGTGACAATTGTCTGTCTCACACACACACACACACACACACACTCACACACCATGACATGTCAGTTTATGGAGGAACACAGGGCTGTGTAGGCACTATTAGCTATATTTGATTTTATGCTTTTCACCATGAGGTTTTGCTTACAATCTCATTCCGACAAACATATATACAGTTCCTTGATGTAGTATAAAATATACTGTTCTAGGAAGGTATAGGCTAACATGAAAACATCAATACATTTACATACACCAGACCTAAGACACAAGACTCATATACATTCATACCACATTCGTTCATTTTCATAAAATACATATACCTGTTATTCCGACTGCCAACCTCACTACAAACACTACACAAAAACACACTCACACACAGATTATGTTAGCCAAGCACATGCTGTGTTCTCCAGCTGTGTAAGCAGCAGAGGAAAATGGATATTAATGACCTGATTATTTAATTGTCTCCTCTCCATTAGTAATAATAACAAAACACTTACCACTGATTCTGAGGGTGAGCCCGAATGTATCCCTGATGTCCTTTTTCATGATAGCATCTTTTTCTTTTTTTTCCTTTTTTACTTCAACGGCTTTGTTTACATGCACACTAATATTTCATTATTATTCAGAATATGACAATATTCCAAATTACATATGGGTCATATAAGCAGCATATTCTGTTTAGATATTCCAAATGAGTCATTTTACGATTAAGATGTGGGAAATGTTGGTTTTATGGCAGTTTGTGACACATGGCCACTTGCCTGTTTAAGGTCATCTCTGTGCATTGTAGGGTTGCAGTGATATACTGGTTTCAAGGTATACCATGATATAAAAGTTGATGGTTATCATACCGTGTATATTTGCTTATCTACGATAAAAAAATAAGTGTAATTGGACATTGAATAAAACGTTTGTTCAATTAACAATAACCCTTCTGTTTTCATTACTTTTAGGGTCATTCTGACTGATAGTAAGATAAAATTCTTAAATACTGTGATAATGTGAAACTGTGATATTTTCTGAGACGGTTATGAAGCGAAACTCTCATACTGTTGCAACCCTAGTGCGTCATCATGCATACGTTGTACACAAACCACAAACTACTGGTCGGTAGAAGAAACACACCTACATTAATTATTAAGACCTGGATATTCACAGGTTTTTAGATATGACCATATATTATGACACCGACCTTTTAACAAAGTGGTTGAAGGAATAAACAGTGAGGCTGTGTTCCCACAGTCCAACAAGTCCACCACCCGTGGAAAACTGAAAAATCCTATTTTTATGCAAAGAAACAAAATAATAAGCAGCACCAGCTGTTCCACTTTTTCCATATGTCTGTGAGATAGACAACATGTTACGGCACGTTATGTAAGTCATGTAAAAGCTTAGAAGGAATGTTGTCTTTTTGGAATAAGGGCAAAAACCAGAATATTGTGTATGTAAGCTTAGTCACCGATGAGTCTCTTTTTTAAACAATAAAATTATTACAGTTATCGTTCTTAGTGTGGACATCCCTTTACTCTGCATTGGAATCTTAACCATCGCTGTCATCCATACTATCTCAGCCTGGTATTAGAGTTGACACAGTTTGCAAAGCTGGAATGATAAGGCTTTAAGGCATGACATGTTTTCATTGTTGGTGTTTATTAATGTTGATTTTTACAGAAGTTGGTGCACTTCATAGAAGCTGCTCATTTCGTGTAGTTCTCTGATTTTACTGGGGGTTGACACAAGTAAGGAAAGCACTTTCTGTGACAAAAACAGACGTGCAACTTCAGGCTTATTAGAGTTGTGTGTGTGTGTCCAGTGAGGTGTGTGTTAATATGGGGGATGGGGGAAACATAGAGCTGTCCAGCTGCTGACAGAGAGGAATCTCATGCATGCAGTCAAAGTGGCTGTCAGTGACACATAACTGTATGAACTCATCCTCCCACTGTTGTGTTCTCTCCTCCAGTACAAAGTTTCATGTGTCTTCCATAGATTTTCTATTTGACACTTGCTTGATCATTTGCACCAAAAACACGCAACTCTGTAGCTTACATAAAACTTACTGTAGACTTAACACATTTATCACAATCTCCCACTAGTGATAGAAACTGTGTGTTAATATGAAACATTTGTCAAATGGATATTTTAAGCTTCATAGGAATATAATAAAGATTGTTTATATTGGAGGTTGTTACATGATTACCTGGTAGACATGCTGAACTGCTGTGTTAACGCTGCATGATTGCCTTTGTCTTCTTGTCTTTTCAGGTGAAAACTTTGAGCAGAGCCCCTTGAAGAGGACGTTCAAGTCCAAAGTTCTGGCACGCTACCCTGAGAATGTGGAGTGGAACCCCTTCGACCAGGATGCTGTTAACATGGTAGGTGGATTGTACAATTATAAGGGGAAAAATGAACAGCACCATGTTGCCATGTCAGTGGTCTCAATTTAGGTGGTTCATGTCAAGGAATTAGAGGCAAAGTAGATTGAGTGAGGTGGCAAAGGCATAAAGGCAGTTGTCTCTAATAAGGGGAAAATCACTCCTCTTCTTAATTTAGTCATAATTTAGCCACATAGGTTTCTTATATTCTACCTTAAAAACGTCTGATCAACATATTACAGGAAATTATAATTCTCATCTGTGTGTCAAAATGAGCTTGTGTTACAAGCTCATTTTTTTGAAGAAAGGTCATGCAGTATCAGTATGCAGGCTCAATGACCCATTGTGACTTGTGTCCTCCCACTGCTGAAACATTCCCACTCTGTTTACATGATTCTTCATGATTCATTTCCATCTGGATTTTTTTTACAGTTACACTGCAGTTTGTATTTAGAATCACTGGGTGTAGAGGTTTAGGTTTAGGGTTTCACTTATTTATTTCATGTTTTAAATGGTTTAAAGGTCCAAATATCATGTTTTTTGTATTTAACATGTATGAAGCTAAACTTATACATAACTAGAAAAGTGTACTCAGTGGAGTGCAGTGTTCATTTTGACAGCTATTTTAGATTAAGTCTTAGTCTTGAGATGAAAATGTTTATTAGTTTTAGTTACATTTTAGTAATTTTTATCATTCATAGTGTTAGTCTAGTTTTAGTCGATGAATTATTCAAAATGTTTTAGTCAACTTTGAGTCATTGTGTTGTCTGTATGTTTTTTATCTTCAAACGAATCCAGTTAGGCTAATTCATGTATCAGAGATTTGAATCAAGGTGACGGGTTGTATACAAATTACGTTTAGACAATTTTTTCTACAACTACAAAAACTTTCTACACACTTACAAACTGTCATTTCTCCAGCGGATAGCTGGTACAGGTGATTTACAAGCACACACTTATTGCTCATCATTTGAAAAGCTCACCATCTCCCTATCTATGTTCTTAAAAAATTTGACACCACAAATAACTAATCTGAGACAACTAGGATTTGTACCCAGGTTCATGGTAAACTCTGACTTATGCATCTCACTGTTAAGAAGCAGAAAAATAGTTTGATTAAAGCCTGAATTTTTTCTGAATCTGCAACATGTTAGTCTGGAGGTTTAAACTCATGTCCTCTCACATAGTTGGTGATTAAAACTAAACTTTCATCTCTGTCAGAGAAAACTGATCTGAGTTCAGACTGTTATAGCACAGCTACACTCACAGATAACTGAGCCTCCTACCTGCCTGTTAAAGAGCATTGATCCACTGAGTGGAGTCCTGTGGGGATCAGCTGTGAAGTCTGGCAACCAGTGGCTGCTTGCTCCGCCACCATTCAGCAGCTAATGAGCAAAGCTAACCGCTAACAGCCACTGCTGCGACTAACAAACTCCACAAATCCATTCAGTAGCTCCACCATCCACAGTCAGACACACACAGCTGATTATTTACTGCTGAATTATAGTTCAGAACTCGCACCAATGGCTGAAGCTGCTCCAGTGTGAGTGTTTTTGCTGGTGAGCGAAACATCTTGGTGCAGACTATTCACTGGAGTTTACCAACCTGTAGCTCATGCAGCACTTGAAGATAATTACAGCCACGACAGTTCTCAGCTTTCAGTGTCCGATAGTGCACCACTAACATTTTTGTCACGTCTTGTCTCGTCAGCAAAAACGAAACATAGATTTCGTCCTAGTTTTTAGGATCAAGATTTATTTTTAGCTCATCATCGTCTCGCTTTCGTCATGGAAAAAAGATTGTTGAAAAATTATTTTTTTCGTCAAGGAAATTAACACTGGTTGAGTGCAGGTTTCCGCCAGGTGGCTTCCCGAGCTGATTGCGGCCAGTCCAGACAGTTCCTGTAATTCCAGTAGGCCTGTCAAAATGCATTTTAGAAGCGTCCCAGAAGCTAATGAAAATACACCCCTCGGCTATTTTTGATGGAACTGCACTTGGTTGCACAGAGCAGATCGAGTCTTCCTGCTAACATGCGCTGTATGTGAAATATACATACAATGTGATTGTAAGGATAAATGTATTTTTAATAACTGAAACACAGCCACAAATATTTGATCCATGTATTCAAAACTGGACTTGTAATGGTAATAACTTTGTCTGTAGGCTGTCGCTGCAGCACAACAAAATAGGAAATAACATCTACAAACAAAATTGAAATGAAAATAAATGTAACTAAAATTATAACTATAACTACACAACTGGCTTACTTACTCATGGTAGAAACACCAATACCAAGGAAATATGACCAAATCAACAAAACCTGCAAGTTTACCAAATTGGCAGGCAAAGTGCTTTGCCTCTGAAACGCTCCCACTGTGGTTTGATGCCATGCGGTGGATGAAAAAAAACTGAGTCACAGATATGGCAGCCAGAATGCGGCGCAGCTGCACTCAGTGAAATTGTTCCCCCTGGCTCCCTTACAGTCAAGTGAAGATATGGTATCACTGAATAACTAAAGTGGATCATAATATATCTGGTATAAAATCAATCTGCAGATGCTCTGATTCAAAATGAGACCGAACTTTTCTATGGATGTCGTTTTTGAACCACTACAAAGGCCAAAATGTGTCCTGCAAAAGACAGTAAGTCTTGTTATAAGCCGAGTTGATTTCTGGAAAACTTGCATCCCCTACCGGCCTAGTGAGAGGAGTGAGAAGTCAGCAGTCAAAGACGGTATAAAACAGATTTCTTAACAATTGTGAATCACCGAAACCACGAGAGATTCTTGAGCATACAGTCATAAATGTGCACAGAAAATATGAGGCTGATTGGTACAGTAGTTTGCAAGACTAGCTGCAGACATACACACAGGAACACACATATACAACCAAACACATGATCAAGGCGAACGTCCTTTGCACAATGAGTCATTGAGTGGGTTTTTTGTTTTTTTTTAATTTATCATCCGAGAAAAAAGTGATAAAGCACAGAGACCTTGCACACTGAGTCTGTGATGCATTTTTTTGTTCTATGCTTTGTGAAAATTTGCAATACCAGAGACAAAATGAAAAGACATACAGTATTACCTCCCTGGCTTCTCTCCATTGGAGTTATTTATCTGTCACCACCCATGACTTGCATTCGGCACCAAAGCTTCATGAAGGGGCTGAGCTGTCCTCCATCTCTGTCTCCTACTCTCTCTCTCTTTACAGTCCATATCCTCCTCCTCGTCATCATCACCATCATTCACCTGAATATCATTATTTGACCTGTTGAAAGTAAGCTATCTGAGTTATGAAAGGATACTGTGTGACCCGTTCCTCTGTCTCATTGTGAATGTGTCCAACCGATACATTTTCGTCACTGATTCTTGGTCAGACAACTCCCTAAAGGCTTCTGACGGTTGTTCCGAAAACTTTAATGAGGGACGGAAATTTCAGTGTCAGCGGTCATATTTATTTTTAGATATGTGACAATTGCGGACGAAAAAACAAACTTAGTGTGCAAAGGCCTTTACTCTGGCGGGTATAATGACAGTAGAAATTAGTATAACACTGAAAATGAGACACAAAGATGTGCATGGGAGTTTTGCATCACACACTTGGTGATAATGTCCAGGAAGTGTGCAGCCCGCTGAAGATTCTGAAAACTCAAAAGGAGATTTGAGACATTTAACAGACAGAAATAAATAAACCAAAACAATTATATTTATTCACAATTATATCAACAAAATTCATCAATCTGAGCCTTTCTCCTTCACCATATCCCACTGGGAGGAGAAAATTGTGATGAGAGATGATGTTCAGAGTTACAATCAAAGGGACGTCTTGACAGGATAAGGGCCTGTAATGAAACATCTGTTTCAACCATGCAAATTTCTGGTCCTTCTGTTTCACAAAACCAGACCTTGAGAGTTATTGAAAAGTCGAATTTGTTTTTGAAAAGTGTGATTGTTGGACGATGTTTTGCTGAAGGTGCTAAATTGTCAGTACAGTGACCTTGACAGGATAAACAAGAGGGAACTGTCCATGTGAATGTACAGGCGGTGTGTGTGTGCGTGTGTGTGCGTGTGTGTGTGTGTGTGTGTGTGTGTGTGTGTGTCTCGTGGTGACCGCCTATTTTTCCACCTGCCCTGGCGTCAACACTGCTGAATAATTCAGCCATGCTTCTCACCTTACGTCGGCATGGAAACGAGCCATTATGCAGCAGTGCAGCAGCAGAAACCCAACACCCAGATGATTGCGAGCCGTCGAGGGTGATGACTTAGAGACATTCTGTATCATTCTCTCTCTCTTTCAATGTCTTGTGACCGACGCACCCCTCATTTTCCCCTCTTCCTCCTCCTCTGTACCTCCATCACCCACTCTACCCATCATCCTCTCCTCCTCTTTGGAATGTTCTCATCCCAGCTGCTCCTCCTCCTCCTGCTGTGAGGTGAGAGATGCGAAGGTTGGGGGAGTGTAATCACACTTCCTGTGCTGGCATGCCGTCACTAAAGGCCCCAACATGCACATACACACACTCACACACAACTGTTACATTTTGTCTTTTCAATAACACTTGTTTTTTTACCACCTTGGCTCTCCATCTGCACTAAACCAATGGTTTCAACCACAAAAAATGGATCTAAAATATTAGAAATCTCTAATTCATCACTGTATTGTGAATGGAGGTTGTCTGATGCTGGTTTACTGTCATTCAGGTTTTTTCTGTACACAACAAACAATAGTTTGAAAGTTTTGTAGGAAGCTACTGTATTAACTGCTGAATGTATGCCTGTACAAGACATTGTAGCATTTCTTTCTGTTTCTGTAGTGTTTGTTTCTTTGGTTGAATGGGTCTTTATGCCTCTGTGCTGAATATAGCCATGGTCAGAGGCATTATGTTTTTGAGTTGTCTGTCCATCCGATTGTTGTGAACACAGTATGTCCAGAATGCTGTGACCATTAAGTGTTCCCTTAATTTTTTTAAGCAGTGTAGTTACCATGAGATAGATGAGATAGATGATAGACCATGAGCCTAGATACAAATGGCATATATGCTGTAAGCTGACAACAGTTTCTACTGTTTGATAAAAACCTGAGCATTTTTCTGCTCTGTGAACAATAAATCATACGCACCTCCTCTGCTCCTGATGTCCTCGTTCCTTTTTCACATGAACAGTGTAAACAGGAAAACAGTTGAATGAGGTCATTTCTTACTGTGACTCCTGCCTCATCAAGGTCAGATGTATATTTCTTCCCACGTCACGCCTAAACTTGTTGCTTCCCACTAATGCAGCTGAGTGATTCTCAATGCGCCCTGGCTTGCCGGTGATTTGATACTTATTTGACACAAAGCTTGCCACATTTCATTGCCACGTTGTGAGAGATTTAGAGCATTTTTCTCACTGCTCTGTTGGATTTCAATACCTTCCTCAGCTCGGCGGGGCTGAGAGGTGAAACACATGAAATGTTGTTCTCTAGACAACAAAAGCAAATGTAAAATGTGGTAGTGGTGATGACTAATGACAGACATGGGCTGGGTGTAGGGAGAGATGATCTGTCAGTACTGATCAGTGAGACACATGACTTATGCATAATCCAATCAGATCCAGTCAGGCCAGCGTGGGAGTGTGTGTTTGTTTCATTTGTTGTCTGTGAAGACAACATGTTCGTAAATAGGAAAACTGTAAAATGTCACAAATGTTTATGTTAGTAAAGGTAAGGAAAAAAAAAGCATATGAATGTAAATGTATGAGTTTGTTCATGTATGCAGACTCTAAAGCTCATCCATATGCATGATGTATCTGTGTTTGTAAAGCAGTGAGCTCTAACACATTCACAATCTGAATGTGTGTTTATGTGTGTTGGCACGGAGCAGCTCTTCTCTCCACTCAGTTTCTGTTCAGCTCTCAGCAGCCACAAAAACATAATGATGCTAATAAGTCAGATTTATTGCACGCTGCTGCTAACGGCGTGTTTATATCAACAGTTTATGTGGGTTTGGCTGTGAAAGCATCACACACACACACACACACACACACGCACATAATAGCATCTTGTTAACCTGTAAATTTTGGTTTGGATAAAATTTTAAAAAATCACAGTATTCCCAAATCAACTGGATTATCTTGATACCAGCACAGTGATCAACCTTAATTGTGACTTGACTGAAGAAGATTTCTCGTTAATTGCATGTATGTATAAAGAGACCTGGATACAACATTGAAGATGGGCCCCTGTTAATTTCTATGAAAATTGCTCAGTGGTGCATGAAGCCAAAAAAGTTAAATTTTAACGCTATGAAATTACTTGAATCTTGTGCATTATGGGGCCCATAGAGCAAGCGCGGCAGAGCTGTTTACTTCTGTTGGCTAAGCAGCAAATTTCTAGGGGTGGGAATCACCACCATCCCATGATACGATATTATGACGATACATAAATCGCAAAACAATATTATTGGGATTTTTAAGGTGCTGCGATATGCTGACTTTGGGGATAAATGCAAAATGTATCAAAAAAAAAATGTATTTTAAAAAGCAGTTGATAATATTATTCTAGTTGGCTACCAAAAGTTTAATTTGTGTTTGTAATACTAATAATTTCTGTAAGAAATACACATACAATGTACTGAAGAAGAGCTAATATACACAACAACAATTTTCACCGGGGCTCTATAAAGAAAAACTCGTGCCGTCAGAATTATGTTAAAGATAATATCCATAAGAAAATAGTGGTTTTCACTAGAACTGACGATTTGTGTTGAAGCAGTGACTGACTCCTGTTCCCTCCCCTCTCTTTACAGCTGTGTATGCCTAAAGGCCTGTCGTTCAGGACACAGGCAGACCAGCGGGATCCACAGTTCCACTCCTTCATCATCACCAAGGAGGACGGCTCTCGAACCTACGGCTTCGTCCACACCTTCTTCGAGGAGGTGACCAGCCCACAGATCTGCTCTGCCATGCAGACCCTCTACCAGATGCACAATGCAGAGAGTGCCACTGCCAACACCCCTCCCTCCTCTTCCTCCTCCTCTTCCTCCAGCATGGACTCCTTGGCCAGCAGTTTAGACGAGGCCGACTCCCCTACATCCTCATCTTCCTCGTCTTCGACTCGCAGGGTAGGTGGCTATGACTCATCACGGGACACCCTCTACGTGTCCAAGGCCTTGTGTCTGATCACGCCCATGCCCTTCATGCATGCCTGCCGCAGCTTCTTGTCACAGCTGCACAGGGCTGTTACTGCAGCCATGGCCCCTCCGCTGCCACTGGAGAGCTATGTTCACAACATCTTGTACGAGGTACCGCTTCCCGCTCCAGGACGCTCGCTCAAGTTCCATGGTGTATATGAGCCTATCGTGTGCCAGAGGCCCGGGCTAGGGGAGCTGCAGCTGGCTGACTTCCCCCTCGCCGAGGCCTTCAGTCTGCTGGGAGTGGAGAACCTGGTCCAAGTGTTCACCTGCACCCTGCTGGAGATGCAGATCCTGCTGTACTCACAGGGTAAGGATGCATGTTGATTATGCCAAGATCATAATCAGACTTTTTCTTAGCCGTGTGAAACATTTTTGTACAGACACACACATAAGTATGCCTGTCAGACATATCAGACTTATCGGGGGTTTGCCATTACAAACTCATATTATGCACTATTCAAACAGGCAAGATCCAAGGATATACACAATCACTAGATGTGTCAGAATTACCAGGAAATGTGCCGTGCCCTAACTAGATGCGACCGTCAGACTATCGCGCAACACTGTGTTACAGCGGACACTCTCCGTCCACACTGGAGCTGCTAAATATGGAACTCTGGTCACTTCATGTAAACAAACCACACATCTAGCAGCTGTGGCCTCATTGAGTGAATTAGCCGTACCTACAGTACTGGATACCTCCTTATTTCACTACAAAAAAAACAAAATAAGTTGGTATCTGGCTGAAGGGAGATTGTCAGGATAATGAACATTTCTAGTAAGAATTGTGTGGGATGCTAGTTAGCTACCTTGTTTTACAAAGTGGACATGGTGGTATGATATAGTATGGGAGCTACAACAATGATATCTCCTGCGATAGTCTTGTAAGTATAAATAAGTAAGGGTTAATGCCCGACGAGGTGTCCATTATCAGGAATTAATGGACGACGTGGAGGTGTGAACCGTCCAACGCGACGGACAACAGTTAGTGTTTATTGCTACTAGTTCTTTGATGTCAGTTTGGTGTGTCTGGGCCTTTAAATTATACTCATATCGAGAACATGATAGTATGCCTGGAATTTTCCACCTGATGTAACAGCAGCCCTGACATAATGGCAATTTGGATTTTTTAAATTTTTGTTCTGGACCAAATGCAAGTGAAATAATAATAATAAGTGAAATAAGCTTTCACTTATTTCATGTTTACATTGACTTCTTACAAACATCAAGCAGTGTGAACATGAAGTCATGCAGAGTGACAATGAGCTCACTCATTGTACAGTTTTCGGTGATGTCATAGTAAATTGTGGGCATCAGATCAGGGAGGAATCAGATACCACAAACTGACAGGAACTAATCTTTATAGAATCTAGCTTTGAATCAAGAGTTCAGGAGGTGCTGCTGTTGCATGCTTGAAGAGGCAGGAAGTGATTAACTTCACCTCTATTTTTGTGGTCCAATTGCATAAAAGTACTGTACGTAAATATAGATAGATAAAAAAAACTCTTAAAGTTGCTTTTAAATTAACATAATGTTGGAAGAAGATAAGAAGGCAGGCTGTTCCATAGGCTGTGTTTGGACCATCAGTGGCACTGAGTCCAAAAAGGCTTTCTTATTCACTACAATCAGAGCAGTCTGTTGGCACATCAAGGGAATCTGCCAGAGAGGAAAGTTACAACACAAACTTATGATGAAGACAAAGATATATTAGAGTGACTCATTCCTACATAGGCTGATTTTTCAGTGCATTTAATATGTAAGTCGGAGTGGGTGGCTGTTTTCAGTGGAGACGTTTTGTTCAAACGTAAAGGCAAGAAAACCTCTTTCTTAGTGTTCAGTTAAAACTTGGTGGCTCAAAGACAAAGGAAAATGGTCTCAGGTTGGTTCAGCTACACATGAGGCTAACTGAGACGCACAGTGATCAGATTTTCCTCCTTCTGGGTTTCCCTTCATCCATTATTCACATCTGCAGTGAGGCTCCGTTGTAGAACATCACATAGAGAGCAGCAGCTTCTTTGAACTACTCTGTGGACTGAGATCACCTTTTGTCCTACATTCCTCCGTCCTACTCTTTCTCAGTTTCACTCCTCCAGTCTGCTGCAGCGCACTCTGTAACACTTTCTCTGTTTGTTTATCTTCAGTGTCGGATGAGTCATGTAAATAGAAAAGCTCCGCACGCACACCGAATCCACAAGCCCAAACTAAAACCATGTCTCTACTGTATTCTGCAGCATGCACACAGGAGGATGCAGTCCTGTGGTGCAAACTAATTACAAGAGGTGAACAAGTGAAATTACTCTGAGTAAACTAACTTGCGTGGAAAAAAAGGCTAAATTAGGAAAGCGCAGCTGTAAAACCCTCTGAACTGCGTCCTTCAACTAAGTACATTCCTCATGTTTGGCACGATAAATGATAAAATAATTTTCACAACTCGAGTTGCAGTGTCCTTTGTCATAGTATTATAAAGTGCTGTGCAGACTTTTGGCATCTGAAAAGGCTTCAGACTCATGGATCTGAGAGATTGCTTAGTCAAGCAGTTTATACTGCCAACCACTATGAGCTTTGTAACCTATAATTGTTATGTTATCTCATAGACCACACACTTATTGTGTGTTTTAGTATTTTATTTCATCAGTTCAAATTAGAGAGGAAAGTTACAAGAGACACATTGCAGGAGGAGCTCACTGGTGATCATAAGGCTTGTAGTCTTTTTACCACAGCAGCATTCATGTGTTCCATATAGAGCAGGCTTCTCTGCAGATCCTTGAAAGTCCAAAAACGCTCTGAATTAGAAATAAAACCTCAACTGGTATTAAAATGAATTAAATCAATCTTTCAAATGTCTTAAAAATTGTAAGACATAGGAACTACAGTAGGATTTTATCCATCCTGTGTTTCAGATGTTGCATTGTTCGTCCATACATCTGTCCCATCCTTGCGAATGCAATATCTAAAGAATGTCTCATGGGAATTTCTTCAAATTTGGCACAAATGTTCGCTTGAAATCAACAACAAACTGATACGTTTTTGGTGGTCATAGGTCAAGGTCACCTTGCCTGTCTCATTAACATGAACGTGATATCTTGACAACGCCTTGAGGGAATTTCTTCAAATTTGGCACAAACATTTTCTTGGACTCAACTGATTTTGGTGGTCTAAGGTCAAGGTCACTGAGGGTAATTACATGCACAGCAATATACGATAGTCCGCCACTAACATTTTCGTCACGCCTTGTCTCATCGACGAAAATTAAAACAAAGATTCGTTCCAGTTTTATTATCATTATCTTTATTTATTTTTAAACTCTTCATCGTCTCATTTTCGTTAGGGAAAAAGGTCATTGATGAAAATTTTCATCATTTTCGTCAACAAAATGAACACTGACTAATAATGACGAAGGCTGACTCTTGTGTCAAATTACTTTGCCTGTGTTGCACTTGAACACACCTTAAAGACTACAGCCATTGGCCAACCAGCACGGCTGTTCTGTGCCTGCATGAAAGGAAATAACTCTACACAGCAGCAGGCAGTGGTAGTCTGTATTTCTCATTTAAGAAGGGAAACTGGAAGACCCACAGGATGGATTCAAGATGCTAGTTAGCCAGTTAGCACATAAACAACAAAAAGCGATGTTGAAAGAACAATGGATATCACTTAGTTGCTGTCGAACAATGACACAAACAAACACTTCTTCTGAAGCGCTCAATGGCAAAAAAACATGCTGAATAGTCAAAAAAATACAGCCGACAAGAGCTGACTAGTGCCAGCATTGTGGGAGACACAAAAACTAAGGTGACAGACGTTAACGGATGGCCTGACACTGACCAACAGCTGACCATCAGCTTGGTTTGTCAGGGCCTTTAGCTCATTAGCATTTGCTAACTAAGAAGTATTAGCTTAGCTGATAAGTCAGTTGTGTCACCATCATTTTTTATTTCCCAAATTTGAAGTTTGCCATTACTGTTGGAGCAGCTGAGAACTGTACAGGTTCTTCCTGAACTCCTACACATCACTGTCAAAAATAACATTACATAGAAAGAAAAGATAAAAGCTGACAATTGTACAGTTTGTATACTAATGCATGTGTATGGCAGAAAGACATCACAACCGTAATGGCACCTTATTTACTTCCGTTACTTCCCTGGACCCTAGTATGCATATTCATACTCCTCCACCCTAATGGAGCCCTGGGGTTCTTTCTTTCTTCAGCTTTCCCACCACATTGTGAGATGGTGTGTCTCTGCACCAACAGCTTGTAATGACACCAAATGGGTTACGGATTAGACGCCTTAATCTGATTGGCTGGCTGTATTGCTCTGGACTGTACTGCAGCACAGTGGCTCAGCTCCGAGGGAGTGATTTTGGGTTGTCAGTAGGTCACAGGGTGAGATTAGAAGACAGCTTCAGGACTGGTGGGATATACTGCAGTACTGCGACAAAGCTATTGATTTCTGCTCTGGATCTGTGAAAAGTCAGCATCTAAGTAAAAATCATCTGAAACATTCTTTAAGAAGAATTACCTGATTTGAGCAATAAAAGATTGAGTGCAATCCAATTCTGTAATATAATTAAAAAAAAATGTTTCCAGTAGTAGCAAAAACTCAGATTGTAAGTTAAGTAAGACTGCGTTTAGGGCTATTTGAGGCAGAGTCATATTAAAAATGTTAACAGAAGCGTTCCCTGTGGATGAAGAAAAAAAAAAAACACGCCTGCTCCTCTCTCATCCCATCGTCCTTTGATAAAAAATGGGTCTCAGTGTTTTATTCATCAATGTCAGCGTCAAAGGCACTTGCTCCTGGAGGGAAACGATTAAAACCAGCCCTCACTCCAGTGAAAAACATCCCTGTTTTGTTCAAGTGTTCATCACTTTTTATCAGGAATCACCGTTGGCATTCAGCCCAGGCTTTGCATGACACGTCTCTCTGAACGAGCCCTCGTTTTGTTGTAATGAGGGGGAAAAACCCTGCATGAAGCGTCATTTTGCTGGAGTCAGGTGATGGAAGGGTTCAGCTCAGGGCAAACATGGAGAATGTTCCCTGGATGTTAATGAGACACCACTCTGCCATATGTTCCCACGCTCCTCCTAATCAATCCACAAGTAATTACACCATGACAGATAGAGGCATCATCAACCCCCCCACCCTACAGTACCTGTGCTCTTCACACACGTATTGGCTGTGACAGGTAGTAATAGGGAGTTAAGGAGAGTCTCTCCTCCAATTATGGGGCACAGTGGGGGCTGGAGGTGGGGCATGCAGGAGTGTCATTATATCAGTGAAGTTAATGTACTGTCCTGGTAGGCAGATATGTATGTAAATGCTGATAGAGCTTTCACCCAAATTATATAACACCATTTTTCTAACTGCCACTGGTACACTATTTGAACAATAGGTGTGGTGTGTTTCTCATGATTTTGCCTGAGCCCATTAGTTCCAATAAAGAGCAATCTTAATGCTACATCACCAGTGCAGGATGGCAGTGCTTGTGTCCTGTATATTTTTGTACAGTAATTGGAAATGGAGACCATGTTGTCCAACCTTATAAACAGTCTATGACCAAGCTTAGCCCTCAATGCTATTGTAGCTGAATGGGGGCAAATTCCTGCTGCCAGGTTTTGTAATCTGGTGTAAAGCCTGGAATCAGACAGTGGGGAGACTGTTTTGAAGCATATCCAGGAAATTCAGTGGCAGAGGTAGTGGTCATAGGATTTAAGGTAACGTCAACATTCTGCTAAGATTATACTAAGCTTTCTTGACAGTCACACTGAAGACACACTAAGACAAATACCCCTTGCTTCTAACTGTCACATGCGTGTCAGGGCTGTTTGATTTCATCTATTCTGTTTACTGTGTCTAGTTTTCTGTGTGTGTGTTTTTCCCAGGTGAGTTGACCATGTCTTTGCACAGAATAAGTAATTTCTTGACTTGATTTGTCATGGGATAAGACACTTCTCTAAGCTTTTTTTATTTTGATTTCTTTCTAGTCTTCCCTCCATATAGTCATTTTCTGACTCTTTTATTATATCACAGTAATATCACATTATGTAGATGAACTAAAGTCTACCATCTCTGCATTTGAAGAACACCTAAAGTCAGCTGTTCACCACAGACAGCTTGCTTCTTCCCTTGTGAGATTGAGCTGCCTGTGTTTATCAGTCCCTGATGCACAGTTGCAGTTTCACAATGACTTGACATGTCCTGTCCTGTTTTTCAGCATCCTTGAGCCCTGTCTCTGCTGGGGCTTTCTGCAGCGCTACAGTTTGCCATATCAGATTTGTTCTTTTTTAAATGATTACGCGCTTGCTCATCTGTCACAGGCACTTGTATTTGTCATATTGCAAAGGGAGTTTCTTTGGCGAGGCAGCAAATGTTGTCAGAGATGAATCTGCCCTTTTGAGAGGAACACCCATAGCTGTTTCTAACTGGAGCAAAAATGATGAATCAGTTCAACTCAGTTCAGCAAAAGGAGAAAATAAAATCAGTGACTGTTAGATTTTGTCCTCATCTTCTTGTTTTCCCCCATGAGGCCTTGCTGTGTTGAGCTTTGATGTTTTTCAGTTGAGAAAAAGAAAGAGGGTGAAATTTATGAGGCTATAACAGAGAAGTGTTAATGAAGCCAGTTGAGACGCCGAGGCTAAACTTATCGTAGTGTGACGTGAGTGTGAAAGGAAACGGGTTGGAAAGGATTTGATGTAACATGAAAAAAGAAGTGGTGTGTTTCAGTCAGACTCCTGCGCTGTGTTTCCCACAGAGGGGGGTGTGGGGGGAGAAACTACGAACCTGTTCAGACTTGAGAGAAAACAAATGCAGCCTTGAACACACAATACACACACACACACACAAAGAGGTTGGATGATTCTGACTGGCATGTCGACTTTCTCTGATGTTGTATTGATGCAATGTTTTGTGGTTCACATGAAATGGAAAGTTGGCTGATGGGAATGTCATTAGTGTTGCAGGTATCTGATCATAAACCAAGGTCATGCACAGAGGGAAATTCTGTGGTGGCACTAGATGAAACTTTGGGGTCATCAAAGTTAATACAGTTCATTCTGAAGGGAAAAATGTCTGAACAAGAGTTATCAAGACATTTTAGGACTTAAGTGGTGACCAAAAGTCTGACCAAAACCAGATGGACTGATTATTTATCCACCCTGCAACTCAGACTCAGGGAGAAAAAACAACTCTGCTTTTTAATTCTTACTCGTGTTACTTGTCATATCTTTACTACTACCTTTTCAGCTACAAAAGCCAGTTTAAACATGGAAATAGATTGCTTCGGTAGAGGTTAAATGTTGTGACTGAATAAGGTTACATAAAGGAGAGTGGACAATGATTGTATTCAGGTGGTTAAAGGTGAGATTACACCACCATCCCAGCATAAAAGATTAATTACTACTGCAGCTACTAGACATTGCGCACAAAAAGTGAAAGTAGCGTAAATATGAATTCAGATATGAAACAAAGAGAAGTGGTTGAAATCTCTCTCTCTCTCTCTCTCTCTCTCTCTCTCTCTCACTCACACACACACACACACACACACACACACATTTTCCTGTCACAACATGCCTGTTTGCCTGTCATCATCCCTGATGCCTTCTACAAGCACTGGTAATTGTTAACACACACACACACACACACACACACACACACACACACACACACACATACATTTGTGTCAGGCTCTGCTCGCTGTCACTTTTCAAACACATAAAGGAAAAAGCAAGTGTGCTGACACTGATTTATTGGAGTGTGTGTGTGTACCCTGCATTTTTAAGCTAATCTTGTCAGTGTGAAGCATGGAGACCTGTCTCAAGTATTCTGCCCACTTTATCAAACTCTGATTCTTAAGAGCTGTCGTTTAAACAAAGTCAAGACGGCTGTGATTTTATGTGTGATTAAAAGACATGTATAGTATATACTTACACACACACACACACACACACACACACGCACTTTGAGAAGTGAACAAGCTGAGCAGCTGCTTCTCGTCCTGGTGAATATAAACCATTGTGCTCTGTGGTTACAGCACTGGAGAGCTTAATGCATTTTCATTGAAATTGCACAGATTCCATATGTGCACATACAGACAGGATGACACTGACTGAACCTTACACAATGAAAGGAAATGAGAATGTGGGGGAGGGGTGTATGGTAGAAAGCAACTGATTGGATACATTGTTATAACTCTATCATTTTTTATTCTTATGTTCCCCCTTCCCTTTCCTCGAGGTCGCGCAGGCTTTTCACTCTGGCCATCACAATAACGTGATGAAACTGCTGCTGAGCTCAATACTAAAGCCAGCCTTCAACCACTGGCCTTAATCTGTTTTAGGGAACAGAGGCAATACTCTCTCTCACACACACACGTGAAAACATGATTGAAAAGAATCCATCAGAATGTAATTCCTCTTCTTTAACCCTAACTCACTCTTAGATTCAATTTGAATCACTTGATTAAAGCCTCTCTTGCACATCAATACTCTAAATTTATATGTATTTTATCAGCCCCTCACTCTTTCCTCCCTGCTCCCTCTACACAGTTCAACAGTCTCTGTGTTGCAGTAAAATCACCCTTACATGTTCATTAAAAACACATCACGGACCTACTTTTATACACAATTCAATAATCAATCACTGCTTTTTTTCTCTTTTTGAGAACAGCTTTATTAGGAAATTAAAATGAAGCCCCTAAGGGGACATGGGTGAGAAAAACTTTAATGGATGAAAAAATAAAACATGGGGGAGAAAAAAATTTATATGAATACTTCCGTGTTTTCCTGAGAAACTTTTGCATTCTACCGAGAAATACTATGCATGTATATTATATAGTACGGAGCAGTGAGCTTCTGCTGAGTGAACCGTGATCAAGCCATACTGCCTCTGAGGGAGGCAAAGGTCCTGAAAGATAAATATATGTTTTCTTCAATGTTTTTATGGCTCTGCGCTGTTGATAGCCGTGGCCGGAGGCATTTTGCTTTTGGGTTGTACATCCATATGTCCATCACTAATGTCTCATTCTCATGAAAACGATATCTCAAGAACACTTTGAGGGAATTTAGTCAAATTTGGCACAAATGTTCACTTTGACTGGACTTTGAACTGACTAGCTTTTGGTGGTCAAAGGTCAAGGTTACTGTGATCTAGTTTCCATCTTATTCTCTTAAATGCAATATCTCAAGAAGGCCTTGAGGGAGTTTACTCCAATTTGGCACAAACATCCACTTGGACTAAAGAATGAACCGATTAGAAATTGTCAGTCAGAGGTCAAAGGTCAAGGTCACTGTGACCCCATAAAACAAGTTTTTGGCCATAACTCAAGAATTCATATGCTAATTATTTCAAAACTTCACACACATTTCTAATAGGATGAAAAAGTGGAGTGATGACATTTTATATCCAAAAAGTCAGAGGTCAACTTCACTGTAACATCACAGTGCTCTGCAAACACTTTTCTGGCCATTATTCAGCATCATAACTCAGGAACAGAAGGGGACACATTTGGTCAGATACTAAACTGGTGACACTACTCTTGGGTGCCCACCTTGAAACTGTGCTGATTGTATAGATCTTCTGTGTTGTCAGGAGGAAGATGTGTGTGAAGCATCCATGTTTTCACAGAAATGAACAGAAATGTGAAAACATAGATGTAACTTCACCTTCACTAGCGGTAATTCTGTTCTATGTTTTCTTTTGAACGGAACCCCCAAGGAGATATGGGGAGAAAAAATAAAGAAGGGTGACAAAAAAATTAATGGGTAAGAAGAAAAACAACACTTTGTTGCCTGCTGAGAAATATTACTGCAGTACAGAGCCATGAGCTGCTGAATGACCATGATCAAGCCAAGGTGAAGGTCCTGAATAATAGATTTATATGTTTTCTGACGGACAGCCTCTGAGTGAGGAAAAGGTCCTGAACGATACATATGTATGTTTTCTTGTATGTTCTTTATGTGTACTTTTATGAACATAAAAGTATTAATAATAATTTAATATAAATGCAAAATTTGCAAAGCATTTCACTCACTCAGATATCTGAACAGGCTGTATATGCTGTACATAAAATTAAATTATCTTATTCTTATTCTTATATTGTTATGATTCTCTTCTCTTTCTGTCAGACTACCAGCGGTTGATGACAGTGGCTGAGGGCATCACCACCCTGCTGTTTCCCTTCCAGTGGCAGCATGTCTATGTTCCCATCCTGCCAGCCTCTCTCCTCCACTTCCTGGACGCTCCTGTTCCCTACCTGATGGGCCTGCAGTCCAAAGAGGGCACAGACCGCTCCAAACTGGAGCTTCCTCAGGAGGTACACAGCCTACCTATGTAGTGTTAACCCCAGAGCTAAGTGTAAGCCTCAGGTTAATACAAGTGTGAAATGATGCTGTTAGCCTGGGCTTTCTCTGGGGAATGTGGAAGGTATGTGGACTATACTAGGACTCTGGACTTGGGACTCAGGGTTTAATGACTGGAGTCAGGCTTACATTTAGGCCCGGGGGAGGGCTTGGTGAGCGCATAAACTAAAATGGAAGGTTCCCACAAGTGTAGGAAAACAAGTACTGTCAGTGTGTGCATGCACAAGCTGCAGCAGTTTGCAGTCAGTGCTCATTACTGCTGACAATACATTGTCCAAGGCCAATACCAAACACACACACACACACACACACAAACAGGCAGACTACAAGGCTCCCTTTTAGACAGACAGGAAATTGCAAGAAACACCTCTCTGTTAAAAACAACTTCCGTACACACACACACACACACACACACACACACAAAATCACCTCACAGCAACGTGAGTATGAGGTGGATTTCAGTCACTGCATTCTTAACGCCCTTTTATTTCGGCCTTTACAATTGTCACACAGTGAGGAGGTGAATGTGCACTGGATTTAACCCAGTATTTAGCCCAACACATTTCATGTGTGTGTGTTCATGTGTAAAAGTGAGATAAGGCCCCAACAAAGCGGAACATCCAGGCTCGCCGGCTTCCGGCTTTGCTTACATCCCCCGACTCCCAGCGCTTGTTAATCCGGCACATTCCGTATGGATGCTAATTATCCCAGCCAGCGCAGGAGGCTGCAGCAGGGCACCCACGAGCCCGTCTGTCTCCCTCCTCCCCCCGCACAGGCTCCCCCCGCCTGCCTAGACTGGTGAATCTCTCTGTTTGTGAATGATCCTTTGAAGTGGCGCTGACCTAGAAATGAGCTGATGATGAAAGAATGGCTCAAAGCAAAGCAGAGAGGACATGATGAGAGAGAGGAAACTAGGGATGTAATTGGGGAATTAATGCCAGACAAGGTTTGCCTTTCTGAACCCTGCACTTCAATCCAGCTCTTCTTCTTTTTACCTCTTGTCAGATGATAACATTAGTTGTTTGCATTGTAGACAAGAATACGTGGCACTATTATCATCCTTTTTCTACATTTTCTTCCTCTTTTTGAACATATACAATTGTTCCTAGTGGGCTTTAGATCCAAACTAGGGCAGCCTTTTTGGAGACAAAGATTTGTGATATGCAGAGTTTGCTCATGTTCTTTGAGCTTTTTTTTTTTTGTTGTCTCACAAAACATTGAAGAAAAGTCAAAGTATCTGAGCCTAACCAAGCCCCAAACCCAGATTTGAAAACTTTGATGAATATAGTAGTCTTATGAAGAGTAAAGGTTTTAGTGGCAACAAATACTTCTGTGTTCAGATTCCTGACTTGAGTTGTGTTCAGGGGTGACCAGAAAGCAGTGGTTCTCAAAGTTTCTCTGCCATGGCCCCTGTTAGAAGCTGAAAAAAGTTCATGCCCCTCAACCTTAGAGTTTGTATGCCTCCGCACTGGTGATAGCCATAGCCAGAGGCATTATGTTTGCGGGTTGTCCATCTGTCTCATTCTCCTGAATGCAGTTTCCAAAGAACACCTCAAGGGAATTTTGGCACAAATGTCCACTTGGACTTAAGGCCTTTGCACACTGAGTCTGGGTTTTTGTTTTTTTTTTAATTTTTAAAAAAAAAAATTTTTTTTTATCTTGCATCCAAAAAGCGTTACGCACAGAAACCTTGCACACTGATTCTGATGTGTTTTATTGATCTATTTGTTGTGAAAATTCGCAATATGTGACAAAATGAAGAGACACATTTTCTACTTTGCCTTTCTCCAATCTCTACCTATCTGGCTGTCACCACTCCCACCCTGTCTTTCATTTGGCACCACAGCTGCATGAAGGGGTGGAGCTGTCCTCCCTTTTTGTCCTCCACATTCTATGTGCAGTCCACATCCTCCTCCTACTCCTCTTCCTCATCATCGACCTGAATATTACTATTTGAAAGTGAGCTGTCTGAGTCATGAAATTATTCTGTACACCCCGTTCCTCTTTCCTGCCACCCATTTTTCTTCACTGATTCTTGGTCAAACAGCCCTCTTAAGTCTTCTGACAGATGTGAAAAACATAAAAGAAATCGAACCTGATCAGAAAACTTTAATGAGAGACTAAAGTTTTACACTCAGTATGTAAATGTGATTGACACAACATGAAGTCGTATTTATTTAGACGTACAACACTCAACAGACTCAGTGTGCAAAGGCCTTTTAATGATGAACTGATTAGCTGTTATTGGTCAGAGGGCAAGGTCACTGTGACCTCATCTTCAGATATGGCAAAAATGTAATCTTTGACTCAAGGATGAATTCATTAGATTTTGGTTGTCAGTGGTCAAGGTCACCATGACTTTGCATCCATCTCATTCTCGTGAACACAAGGCCTTGAGAAAATTTCCTCAAATTTAGCACAAACATCCACTTGGACTGAGGAACGAACTGAGTCGAATATGATCATCAAAGGTCAAGCTCACTGTGACCTCATAAAACATGTTTTTGCCATAACTCAGGATTTCATACGCTAATTATGACAACATTTCACACAAATGTAGGATAAAATGATGAAGTGATATTTTATATCCAAAAGGTCAACTTCACTGTGACATCATAATGTTCTGCAAAAACATTTTTCTGATTCTGTTTCACTCCATGTCTTTCCCGGGTTATCCATGCAGTGGCTCTGTGCCCCCCCCCCAGGGGGCTTTACCCACAGTGTGAGAACCACTGTTCAAGTATCAGGTACAGGTGCTTAATTAAGCAATAAGCCATTTGAGGTTGGGGTTTACAGAGCTGTTAAAGAAGCTAAGGGGCGTTGTAAGACAGACAGAGAGGGGAAAAAATGCAATAATTTATTGATGAAAAATAACCATTCTTCGACCAAACAATGAAGTTCTTCAGTGACATTTAGCAGAATAGTTGCCAAGCAACACACAGACACAGTGGAAAGTGCCAGCTGCTTTACAAATCTGTCATTACACAGAGCCAAAGAAGCTCACTCCAATGGATTATTCACCCTATTAGGAGAAAGAAACAGAAAGTTCTCATCACCATGTTGCAGTTAGATTATGTATCTGTCGTCAGCAACTTTTACACTCACTTTCCTCAAGCTGTTGTCATTTGCCAGCAATATCATTTTGTACAACAGTGTAGCCAGGTTACTGAGTAGCCAAGCTACACTGCAACTACACAGCTTGCAATCGACAGCATGGCTAGAGAAAAGTGAGCATTATAGGCTACAAATGAAAACGGGCAAGCTGGCTAAAGTTACATGCATGGTTAACTAACTTTAGATCATTGTTGTAGTTGTCGACTTAGGATGGAGATGAAAGGCCGGTGGATTGGTCAGCAGCAGCGACAGGTATTTCTCCAATGAAGTGTCAGGACACAATAGGTACTCTGGCCGCTCAAACATAATTCCCTACAGGCTCTATTTAGCCCCTTTCCCAGTGTACAAAAAACCCACTGACACTGGCAACATTTTGGCTTTTGTCTTCAATAGATCTTATTGATTTTTTTTTTTCCTCATGCATTCATTGAATGACAGCAAAGCGTACCACCAACCATTCTCATCCATTGATAAATGATCCAGGCTTGAGTTGTTGCCCTCTTTAGTTCTGTATCTCACATGACAATAGGTGACTAATTGGTGCAGTAATACTGAAATTGTAATGTGGTCACAGTTGTGTGTTTGTAGAGTATTTTACAACACATTCAAACACTGCTCAGCCAATCATAATCAAGAACTTGACCATTTTGTTTCATAATATTTATTTTGCATCAAAAGGGGCCAATTGAGGTAGTTCAGGCATCTAATCAGAATACCTCCTGGGCACCTCCCGTTAGAGGTGTTCCGGGCACATCCAACTGGTGGAAGGCTCTGGGCCAGACCCAGTACACGCTGGAGGGATTATACATCTAGTCTGGCCTGGGAATGCCTTGGGGTCCCTCAGGAGGGCCTGGAAAGCATTGCTGGGGAGAGGGGCATTTGGAATACCCAGCTTTGGATAAGTGGTTGAAAATGGATGGATGGATGGATGGATGGATGGATGGATGGATGGACGGACGGATGGACGGATGGATGGATGGATGGATGGATGGATGGATGGACGGATGGACGGATGGATGGATGGGTGGATGGATGGATATATTTTAAAGGCTAATGCTGAGAACAGGAAACACATTGCCAAAAGTAGATCCAAGAAACATGAGCAGTTGGACAGTTAATAAACAAACCTCCAGGTTAGTCAAACTCCCAACATTTGGAAGAGAAAACAACAGTGAACATTAGGATTTTTGCCCAGAATATCCATTAGAAACATTCATCATAGTTTACAGGATGCATTCCTTATCTTCAGGCTGTAGTGATGTTCCACATCTCCCAGCTTGGTTTCATGCTTTGTACTATTGAAATAGAAAATTAATCTGTTGTTATTGCACAGCTGGTTTGTTTTTCCAGCTGTTCTAACAATAAAACTGTAGCATTGCAATAGCCTACGTTGGGCAGCCCATATCTGGATGTTGGAGATTCCACCAGCACATGAACACACCACACACTGGGGTCTGACCTGGAAATTTCAATCTGGAGGTTTTCCATCACTCCTGTTTAAAATGAGAGTTTATATCTGTGTTTTATGGCATGTGTATATGAGTGCGTTCCTGTTCCTGTGGTTTTGAGTGGTTTAGAGTATTATCAGGTCTTACTTTAATCCCATATAAGGGTGTGATGATAACTCCATTTTGTCAGATTTAGGTTGATCTCCCACAATGTGCTATTATCAATCACACACTGACCCACATTTTCCATACTCAACATCTCCCAGCCCCCATCATACCTCCTAAAACCAATCTGTCCTCAACATGCATCCTGATGATACCTGTCCCAGCATTCTGGGCTCACACTGAGCTTGCTTCTTCTGTCAGAAACTGTGATGTAGAGATTTAATTAAGTTTCAGTTTATAGGGATCATTGTCTATTTCTGAACTATATTGTTGTAATAATACATTTTTCTGTCCCAGGCCAATCTGTGTTTTGTGGACATTGACAACCACTACATCGAGCTTCCAGAGGATTTCCCCCAGTTTCCCAATAAGAGCGAGTTCATCCAGGAGCTCAGCGAGGTGCTGCTTAGCTTTGGCATTTCTGCCAACACAGGGGCCCCACCACGGACCCGCACAACTCCTGGCAGTGCTCCCGGCAGCGCTCCCGGCAGCGCTCCCAGCAGCACCCCCTCCACCCCTGGCAGGGAGCGTAAGACTGTTGCTCTCCGGCAGCTGGAGGATGATGGGCGTAACGGCAACCTTGCAGGGGAGGAGCTGGCTGTGCTGGAGCTGCTGCAGGGAAATGCCACACTGGAAAGACTACAGGCCCTGACCAAGCGCACTGGGGTGACAGTGGCCCGCGTGGACGCCCTGAGGGCTGGAGTCAAAGCTCAGGGAACTGAGGGGCAAGGGGGCCGGACTGCAGCCGAAGAGGAGGAGCTAAGGAACGCCAAGCTGAATGTCCAGCTAAGGGAGGTGTTTGCCAGCCGCTTCACTACCATGTTTGCAGACTACGAAGCCTTTGTCATCCAGAGCGCCCCAGACCTGGAGTCCTGGCTCACCAACAGGGAGCAGATGCACAACTTTGACAAGGTGATGAAATCAAGCACAAACACATAGAGTGCAGAAAATTTGGCACAAATGTCGACTTTAACATAACGATAAACTGATTCAGTTTTGGTGGTCAAAGTCACTATGACCTTGTCTGTCTTATTTTGAGAAAACAAAATGTCAAGAACAGTTTGAGTGATCTTTTAAAAAATTTGGCACAAACTCTCACTTGGACTCAACGATGAACTGATTGGATTTTGGTGGTCAGAGGTCAAGGTTATTGTGACCCTGTGTCCATCTCATTTTGTGAGTGCAATATCTCAAGAAGGCCTTGAGGGAGTTTACTCAAATTTGGCACAAATGTCCACATGGGCTCAAGAATGAACTGATTGGAAGAAGGTCATAATCGTTGTGACCTAACAAAATATGTTTTTGACCATAACTCAAGAATTCATTGGTGAGTACACCTGGACTCAATGATAAACTGATTAGAATTTGGTGGTCAAAGGTGAAGGTCACTGTGACTTCACAAAAAATGTGTTTGTCCATAACTCAAGAATTCATGCACTAATTATGACAATATGTCACACAAATGTCTAATAGGATAAAATAATGAAGTGATGACATTTGATATCCAAAAGGTCAAAAGTCAGCTTCATTGTGACATAATGTTCTGCAAAATAACTTTTCTTGCCATTATTGAGCATCATATCTCAGGAACAGAAGGAGAGACATTTGGTAAGATAATGAATTGGTGACACTAATCTTGGATGTCCACCTTGAAACTGTGCTGATACAATAGATCTTCTGTGCTTCTAGGGGTGTGTGAAGCATCCATGTTTTCACAGACACAAATGTAAACTGTTAATGCAACTTGACTGGTTCTCAGAGGCATAGAGCCACAAGGCTGTAATTGTAGTTTTTTAAGTATGTGTTTGTCTTTTTAGTGCAAAGAAAGGCTAACACACACTGTGCCCATGTTGTACAGAGAAAGGAAAGAGAGAACTGGGACATAGTCATCTGAATAATTATTTGAGAGTGAAATTGGATTGTGTGTGTGTAACACTGGAAAACAAATTCAGGTAGAAATGTCACGTGCCTGGGTGATTAATTTCACCCTGCGTTAAGTGCGCTGAGGGGGCTCTAAATGACAGTGTTTGCACACCACATGCAGTACATTCTCTTGTGAATACTGTAAATGCCATCTACTGCATACTTTTGACAATTGCTCTGCTGTTGTAAATAGATTTATATCTTATAAAGCAGTAATTAAATGTTTGATATTGAAAAAATCCCTTAAATAATGGGAACATACTCAATAGAATTGTCAGGCTTACTGGTGTGAGTCTACAGGTGGTTTATGTCAGGTCACGTATCTTCTGCCCACTCTTCTTTTATTCACACAAAACTTACATTTTAAAAGTCAATTTACTCGTGAAACACCTGCACTGATGTTTGTTGGTAGTTTTTGTAAACATCTCTATCCCCACTGACTTGGCAAGCAATAGAAATGTGTATGGCAGCCACAGCAGTGGGAAAGACAGCCCTGTTATTATCTATACCATGATTCAGAACAGACCAGCTCACAGTTTAATTGGTCTCATTTCTTTCTTTCTTTTTCGACAAACAGGTGAATAAGCTGGAAACTGTTATTTGAGCGAAGCCATAAATGCTGCTGTACATACAGTACAAGCCAGAGTGTTTTTTCCCCTACAGCAGAATTATAATGTGTGCTTCCAGATCTTTCTCTAGTGCTGACACAGATCTGGCTACATGAGACTACTATACAAATGAACATTCTTTAAAAAACGATTAAAAAAAAGCTTAGTTTCTGTATGAAAAAATGCTGCCTTAGTGTGGACATATTCTAAATGTTTTTCCACTTTTCTGTAAATGTACTATTAATACACACTATAAATGTTTTATATCTGCCTATAACACAGATGATCACATTGATTGAATGAGTATTAGGTTTTTTTTGATGCTGTCTTTAATTTGCCGGAACAAGCTGCACCGTTAGCTGATATATTATACTTGTATCTCTGCCTGCTCCAGGCCTCATTCCTGTCAGACCAGCCGGAGCCCTACCTGCCCTTCCTCTCCCACTTCATCGAGACACAGATGTTTGCCACATTCATCGACAACAAGATCATGTCCCAGTGGGAGGAGAAGGAGCCACTGCTCCGTGTCTTTGATGCTCGCATCGACAAGGCCCGCCTCTACAATGTCCGTGCTCCCAGCCTCCGATCCTCCAGCTACCAGAGATGCTCCATCCTCAAGGAGTCTGGTAAGCTCGGCACAGAGAGGTGTGAGTGCTTAAACATGTTCAAGTGAGCTTTACTTCGCATGATTTAACACGACACATGATTAGAATTGGAACAAAAGTGTTTGGAGAGATCTCTCCACCGGTAGAGGGATCCAGAATGGTAGTGTTTTGATTCACAGCAGGAAAGGAGCTCATTGATCAGCATGCTGTTCATGTGCGTCCGTCCTTCAAAGCATACCAATCATCCATCAGCCGAGGCCAGACAGGATTGCACTGTGCCATGCAATTTAAAAACACACAGAAACACTCTGCATCCATCTCTCTGCCTCCTCCTCCATTTCTCCTTCCCCTTCTTGTCACTCATTTATCGTGTGGAAGCAGCTCAGCTCTCCCCAGTGACCAGAAAACCACACTTCTCATTTCTCCACATCCCAACACAGCAAACACTCCATCATTCTTTCTCTCAGTTAAGCACAAACACACTCTTTGACGCTGTCTTACTGCAAGAGTGTTTGGTCAGGTCTTTTTTTCTTCTTATTTTCTCAATTAGTGCTGCTTGGCTTTCCCTTCATTAAGCCTTTAATTGGTGCTGAATGTGCAGCATGAGGCAGGAGGTCAGACTCAGGACTGACTCAGACTGGTGGAGGCCAACAGGGAATCTATGAAGCTGCATGTGTCTGGGTTTTTTTTTGGATTACTGATGTTCATACAGCCGGAAAAGAGCAGGATTCCAGGCTCACTTGTGTATTTAAAAATGAAGAACCAAAGTGTGTGATTTTGTAAAAATGCTATGGTAATTTGCATATATCTAACCTGACAAAATGTTGTTTGATCTGAGCTTCTCTGTAGATTGTTGTGGTAAACTGGTCTGGCAGCACCCACATTTGGCTTGCTCTTTGCTTCCGCTCTGCACTGTGCTCATATCAGAATGCCATCATCACACAGGCATTGTGCCAACCTTTCAGTTCCCCCCTGGTTATCACAGTTAGCTCTGTCAGCACTGTTGCCATTGTTTGCCGTTGTTTATGGAGTTAGCACCATTAGCTGCTAGCTGCCAACTCAGCCACTTCCATGTTGATAGCTGTGTTCTCATGCGCTCAGAATTTTGCATAGAGCCCCTTTAGCAATAATCTAAACTGTTACATAGGCCTACATATAAATATTCAGTATTTACCAACAAATTATCAAAAAATAAAGTTTCTAAAAGTTTCATTAGTGATGTCAGAAATGACTAAGTTAACATGTTAGGTTAGCCTATTCAGATATTTCTCACTTGCTCCAACTGCTTGAATAAGGCTGTTTCATGAAAAACATATATCTGCGTGTATGTAAATACCAGCACCAGGATATGGTTAGCCTAGCTTAGCATACAGACTGGAAGCTACAGAAAGTAGCTAGCCCGGCTCTGTCCAGTTAAAGAATATCCCTACCAACATGTAAAGCTGTTGCATTAACTAATGTTTTGGTTACTTGGGAGCTGTGAAACAAGCCGTACAGACAACACTAACAGAGTTGCCCCTTTAAAGGTATTGAAAGGGGTATTGTTAGCAAACAGCTGCCTACTTACAAATCCGGCACACGTGCAGCACATTAGCATTCAGCTAGAGTCTGTTTCTTGCCACCAGGTGAACATAAGTTCAATGTTCACACTTTTTAGCTCTGGTTATGGTCTCCATCAACTCCAGAGAAAAAAATGTGGCTCCTTTGTTGCTGAATGCTCCACATTGTCACCAGCTCGTTTGGTATGCTGTCTATCTGTTTGTCTGTCTGCTGAACAGGTAGTGGATGCAGATACAGTTTTTTTTAGAGCATTTTCTCTAAAAACTGCTGCAAAACAATGAACTAAAAGATGCTAAGATGCTACATAAAGCTGAGGGGAACAGCATCACTATGAGCGACACCTTCCACATGAGTAATTTTTTCCCACATTGATATGAAAATATTAATTAGCTTCAACATGAGAGTGATTCTAATCTTTTCAACTCTTTTGGAAAGAAAAAGTAATTATAGTGTTACTGTAGGGTATACTGTGTGTACTTTATATATCCACAGTTAGTAGCTGTTTAACAGAAACATTTCAGCATTGTCTGAAACAGTAGGGGCTAGTATACCCTAATGAAAACAAAAATGCAGAATATGACTTTAGGAAATGTTATGAGCTCATACTGAAACCGTTTTAAAAACTGTTATATCAAGATACATCTGATATATCAGACATTATGATGATTAAAACACAGCTGTTGCTGTAACTATATATATGACAGGACAGACAGTGATTATATCAACTTTCAGTTTGCCTCAGTATTCTCAGTTTTGCAGCGTTTACTAGCTGTGATCATTATCTTCCTCTGTACGAATGATCATTTAAGCCATTTCTTCCCTGCATTCTTCTGGTGTGTGCGCACACATTGGCTTGTTGTGACCCACACTGTTTCATGCTAATGGGCCGAGCAATGTAAAGCTTTAATTGCGGATGGGCAGCTTATTTGGGGGCGATGGTGCATGCTGGTACCCAATTACCCAGACGTCAGGCAGCCTTCCCCTCCGCCTGCCTTCCCCTGTGACGACTCGCTCTGGTGCCCTCGCTTACTGCTCACTCCACAGCTGAGATTAATACTGCAGCTCCTGTCTGAGGAGTTCAGTCACACACAAGTTCAGTGCTCAAACAGGGGCAACATAACCCAGACAGTTTGACAACAAGCAGTGGCACTGACAGGCGGACGATAAGGTAGTTTGCAATGTTAGGAGAAAATAAAGCAGGTGAAAGTCTGAGTGTGTTTGTGGATCCCTGGGGTGAGAGAGGGAGGAGGAGAGAGTGAGATGAGAGCACAGCATACTTCATCTGTGATTTATAATCTGAACAACCTGTTTTGAAGTCCAGCCAGTTTTTCTCTTCTTGGCTAATGAGCAGCTGTCAGAGCATATTATACTGTCTTCATTAGGCGAGGAGCAGTGTGTGTGTGTGTGTGTGTGTGTGTGTGTGTGTGTGTTAGAGTTATTTGTCATTGTTCATGTTTGTCAGGTCTTGTTCTCCATTTGTTTACATAGCAATCTCTTTGGCTACATTCCCACAATGCAGCTGAAGTGTGTGTACTCATTATGTCGTAGTGCCAAGTTGCTGAAATGTGGGAGTACTTTTGGGTAATAATTTTACCATGTGAAGGTTTAGAGATGTTGCTGTGCTCTCAGATCTCAATAATTACTTTGGTGAGTACAATGGCCCTCATGCATAAACAGTGCGTACACACAAATCTGTGCTGAAGCTGTGTGTATGAATGTTTTAGTAGAAATCTGTAATACATCAATATTTTCTTACCTGAACTTGTTCCTACTCTGCAAACAAATTTAGAGCTGCCTCAGACCATATGTACTGAATGCACAAATAATAAAGGCCTGACTGTCTCAGAAAATGTAAACACACACCTTTTAACTAAATGCATAACATATTTAAACCATGATTATGTTAAAAGACTTTAATAGACAACATTTAACACTTTTAATTTACTAATGCATTGGTCAATTGTATTAACTACTTATGAAATTGACGCCCATTCATCCTCATCAATTATTAGTTAAAAAATTCCAAAACGGAGTGTCCCTGTTTTTATTTTATAGAAATTGTGCCTATGTTCATTTGTAGCCAACTGGTTAATTAGTGGCCCACTGCTAAGAGTGTGGGGTACTCAAAATATTCTAATCTACCTTCAAGCAGGTGTTAAGATATCTAGCCTTGATGGAAGATATTGCAGCTCATGCTTTCAGTTGAGAGCGCATCTTTAGAGACCGACATAACACAAAGACGAATGGCTTATAAGTCAACTGCCAAGACAAGTTTTGCTGCAGCTGCGTAATTCCCTGGAATAGCATTTAAGTCATCGAACAGACTGCTCTCACCCAATAACCTCTCAAGTCCCGTCCACCATTTGTTTCCTTGGCAGAAGCGTGTGTGTGGTGAATCTGATGGTAATTTTACGTGTGCAGTTGTTTATTGCGCACAGTGAGAACATTTCTACACACATTAATGTATGAGGCCTAATGAAAGTGGATTAGGTGTGTTATCAAGCAGCTGGAGTGCTGTTTGTGTCACTAAATATTATTGAAACTATTGTTATAGTGTCATTCAATCCAAGATGGCAGCATGTCCATTGTCTCCTCAGTGTCTGTCTGTCTTAATTATTTTTAATTGACCTTAGTGCCTTTTCTCACTCTTGAAAAAGTTTTTTTTAGTCGCTTTTGTGAATTTACTTCAAGCAATTTGAACGTTTTCGGGACTGTGTGCCTGTCCTCTGGCTGTAGCTATCTCAGTGAACCCAGGGAACTGCTGCAGTGTGGTTTGCTTTCAACCTAGATCTGTTACAGCAATACAGGGTCCCATCTTCTGCTGCACTGTGGTGTGCTTCTAGCCTGGAACTGCAGCAGCAAGTTCAGCTACATTGGCTATATTGGTTTGAGCTGTGTGCTGATACCATCTACACCATACTGAAGCCTGTGCTGTTTGTTGAAGCCATCCACACCACACTGAGGCCTGCACTGTCTGCTGGAGCAGAGGCCATCCACATCACAGTGAGGCCTGCACTGTCTGCTGGAGCAGAGGCCATCCACATCACAGTGAGGCCTGCACTGTCTGCTGGAGCACTCTCACTACTACTACTCTACTCTCTCTACATTTATAAGTGTTGAGAGTTGTGAAGTTATGGCATTTCTATTGACTTTACTTTGTTTATCGACTGTGTGGGACTTGGGGGCAAGTGATCGTTCCTGGGTGAGTACATCTGACAATGTGTTCAACCTGCTGGTCATTTCTCACGGATGCACTTGCACTACAGCTGCTGTGCAACCTGTACAACTACCACTCCATTTGGCACAGGACATGAACTTATCATCTGATCTGCCCATAGACTTACCCCAACTTCAAAGCTTTTTAGCTCTGCATAATCACCTCACGTTCAGTGAGAGATCCTGCTCGGCTTCAGCATGTAATGTTACTAAGCAGAGATTGTTGATTGTCTTATTATTACTTTTATCTGGTAACATGCAACCTAACCCTGGCCCTGAGCTGCAGTGTATCCGGACACCATCTGATTTTAAATTCTTGTCTGGTCTTAAAATTGTTCATCTTAATGTGCGCAGCTTGTTAACTAAGATGGACATGGTCAGGATTTGGGTTAAATCAACAGATGCAGATATTGTTATTATTTCGGAAACTTGACTGTCCAAATCTATTGCTAATGAAGATATTAACATGGTTGGATACAATGTTTATTGAACAGACAGGCCAAAGAAAGGTGGCGGTGTTGCCATCTATATCAAATCAAAATTTGATGCTTGCATAGTTCTGTCTGAATCCATCTGCAAACAACTGGAATTTTTGGCACTGAATGTGGAAATCATTAAGGGCCTTTGTATAACTGTTGTTGGGTGCTACAGACCTCCATCTGCCTCCAAGGAAGCGTTACAATCTTTGAAGCATCTTTTGTCAAGACTGAATTATAGTGAACTTGTTTTAGGTGGTGATTTGAATTGGGATTGGCTTAAGCCAGTTTCTGATGATTTTAAATCTTTGTGTGACTCTATTAATTTTACCCAGTTGGTCGATTCACCCATTCGGCCAAACCTCAAAAGTCCTGAGAAGTCCACCTTGATTGATTTAATTTTGACAAATGTTCCTCATAAATTCTCTTCTCTGGGTGTGTTCTGCAATGACTTAAGCGATTACTGTGCTGTTGCTGCTATTAGAAACACTAAGATGCCCAAATCAAAGTCTCGTATCATTTATAAGAGGAACCTTAAACTTTTTAATGAGCAAGCCTATCATCACGATTTGTCTAATTTTGATTGGAAAAAAATAGGTTTGATCCCTGATGTAGAGTTAGCTTGGACATTCTTTAGGGATGGTTTTATGCAAATTGTGAATAAACATGCCCCTATTAGGAGATTTAGGGTAAAGGGGCGAGAAAACCCCTGGTTCTCTCCAGAGCTGGCAGAAAATATTTATGAGCGTAACCTGGCTTGGGCCAAGGCAAGGAAAACAGGTTCTCCTAATGATTGGCTTGTTTTCAGACAATTGAGAAACAAATGCTCTTCTTTTATCGAGAAAGCCAAATCTGAATATTATTTGTCTGTCACCACTGAGAACCTAAATGATCCACGGAAATTTTGGGAAGTTATTAATTCTCTTACTGTGAGTAAAAGCACTCAAGCTCTACCTACATATGTTTTAAAGGATTCTGTCCCTGTCTATGACAAAATGGAGGTATTGAATTGTTTTAACAAGCATTTTATATCTTCCGGTTCTCTATTTGATTCTGTGGGATCTGTCTCTGAGAGACCGCCCACCGACCTTCCAATGTATAGTGGTCAGCCTTTCAACTTTGTACCCTTCTCTGTTCAAGAAGTTCATAAAGCCCTTAAAGATTTAGATCCCAGAAAATCCTCTGGACCTGATTTAATCGATCCTTACTTTTTGAACCTGGCAGCTGATTTTGTAGCAGAGCCTCTTGCATTCCTTTTTAATCTTACAGTGGAGAAGAATGAGATTCCCTCTGTATGGAAATCTGCTTTTGTTCTCCCTTTATTAAAAGGGGGTGACCCAGCGATTTTAACTAATTATAGACCAATATCTAATTTATCAGTGCTGGCCAAAGTTCTTGAAGCTCTTGTGAGTGAGCAAGTTAAGGTGTTTTTACATTCTAACACCATTTTATCGAAATATCAATCAGGCTTCAGGAAAAAGCATAGTACCATTACAGCTGCAATGAAGGTGGTAAATGACATTTCTGTTGCACTTGACAAGAAACAACATTGTGCATCTCTTTTTATTGATTTGTCGAAAGCGTTTGACACAGTTGACCACGATATTTTAAAACTTAGACTCTTGCAATCAGGACTCTCGGAGCAAGCAGTTACTTGGTTCACCAACTATCTCAGTAATAGGACTCAGTGCATTAAATATGATGGCCTGTGTTCTGATATTGTTACTGTCCACAAGGGGGTGCCGCAGGGTTCTGTATTAGGTCCCCTTTTATTCATTATTTATATCAATGATTTGGGTATAAATGTGACAAATGCTAATTTGCATTTCTATGCTGATGACACAATTATTTACTGCTGTGGATCAACTCTTGTTCAGGCCATTGAATCCCTGCAGAAAGCCTTTGTTGCTGTCCAGCACTCATTACTTCAGCTGAAACTTGTTCTCAATGCAGACAAGACTAAGCTTATGCTGTTCTCTAATTCTAGGAAGAGGCCACAAATTATCCCCTCAGTGACCACTCTCGAGGGAAATGAAATAGAGGTGGTTCACGAGTATAAATACCTGGGTGTTTTGATTGATGCCTCCCTCACTTTCAAGCCGCATATAGAGAAATTAGTGAAGAAGCTGAGGATAAAATTGGGTTTTTACTTTCGAAATAAGCTATGTTTTTCTTTTAATGCAAAAAAGCGACTTGTTGCTGCTACCTTTTTACCAGTTTTGGATTATGGAGATCTTTTATATATGAATGCGTCTGCTAAATGTCTTCATATGGTTGACACTGTCTACCACGCTTCTCTGAGGTTCATTACTAATTGTAAACCATTGACACACCACTGTGAGTTATACTCTCGGGTTGGATGGGCTGCTCTGGCCACCCGAAGGCTCAGTCACTGGTATACTTTTATATATAAGGCATTACTTGGTCTACTGCCTTCCTACATTTGTTCCTTAATTGCACAGAGAAGTGCTGGTCCTTACTCCTTTCGTTCGCAAGACTACTTGTTGCTTTCTGTTCCATATGCCCGTACTGAATTGGGTAAAAAGGCTTTTGTCTACTCTGCACCTTCAGCATGGAATATGTTGCAAAATGACTGGAAACTAACAGGGTTAATTTCTTTGAGCGCCTTTAAATCCAAACTAAGAATACTTGAGGCCGACTCCACTACATGTACTTGTTTTTCATAATCTGCTTGTAAATTCAATACTATTTGTTTGTGTTTTATCTGTGTAATTTGTAACTGTGCTTCATACTTGCTGCTGCCTATCTTGGCCAGGTCTCCCTTGAAAAAGAGGTTGTTAATCTCAATGGGATCTTCCTGGTTAAATAAAGGTTACTAAATTAATAAATAAATGAATTCCCTTCAGTAACATGCTCTCACTGGACTCCTCCAAATGTCTACATTCTGTTGGGCTTACTCTGACCATGATATTATTGTGTCTCCCCCGCAGCTCAGGCCATTGAGCAGCGGCTGATGAAGATCGACCACACCGCCATCCACCCACACCTGTTGGACATGAAGATCGGTCAGGGCAAATATGAGCAGGGATTTTTCCCCAAATTGCAAGCCGATGTGCTCAACACGGGGCCGACCAATAACAAGTAAGTCAGTTTCCACCTCATGACTAAAATACACATATGAAACCAGCAGATGAAGTCAGCACTGAACACCTCATTCATTAAATATAAAAAAAATGAATAGTTCCACTTTTTAGGAAGTTCTGTACACCTATTAGGGATGTCACAGTGAGGAACTTTTCCCACGATTAAATTTGTGACATCAATTACTGATTTCACATGACAGTTTACAAGAAGATATTCATCGATGACGCGCAATATCTGTAGGCCGCTTACTTTGATCTTTGACATTAGGTCTTTAGAACTTCCCCTTACTTTGAACAACATGGAACAGAAACAGTTGGTGCAGCTGTGGCAGCAGCTGCTTTTCTTTTTAATATACTTGCTAAAGTTATTTTTCTTTTGGGCTGCGGCTCGGGCTCAGCTTCCTCCTCTTCATCCCCCACAGGGTGCGCTCTCCACCTGAGGATGACCTTTCTTCCTCTGCCATCTCTCTCTTCTTCTTGGTCCCCTTAATATTTGTGTCATATTCACCTTGATAGCGCATGTCCATGAAGGTGGCCTTGCACCTAAGATTTGTGCCTGCTTCTGGCAGAGCTCACTACAGTCATATCGCCATCTTTACTTTGGAGAGAAGAGTAGAATGGCAGCGTCACCATATTCTGGAGTTTTGTGCTGCGACTCTGCAGCTACTATACATAGCAGGCACTTTCACTTTGGAATTCTAGTGACCGTAGTCTGACAGAGTATTGATAACTCTGAGTGTTAATAACTTGTATTTCAAAGGGTTTTAAAACTATTTTCGAACCGGTCTAATTACACATTGTTGTACCTGCAGGTGGTCTCACAGGACGGTGACAGCTCAGCGAAGGAAAGACCGTCACAGACAACAGACGGAGCATCTGGGCCTCGACAACGACCTGAAAGAGGTAAAAAAAACTCCTCACAACCAACTCATAACCTGTCCCCTCCTCTGCTCGCTAACGTTATGTAGTCTTCATGTCTTTAATTTCTCTGTATGTGTCATGGCTTCATATTTTTGTTTGTTCTGTTTGAGCTTTCTTTGTTTCTTTTTCATCCTTTTTGAAGTCTTCATGTGCATGCTGCCTTCTGTTGTCTTTTCCATTTCTTCTCTTTTTGTTCTGTCCTCTCTTGTCTGCTCATGCGTCCTGTGCCTGTAGGGGGTCGGCTCGTACCCCTCTTCTTCCTCCACCTCCTCCTCCTCAGCAGGTGGAGGGCTGTCTGGTCCTGCAGAATTCCATGGCATTTTGGGAGTGGGATAAAGCGTCCCCTCCACCTATCAAACCGCCTAAAAAATCTGCCTCTGCGTCCTGCCTGGTATGTGGAGGAGCTGCCTGTGTAGTGGACTCCCTCTCTCAGAACCCTCCACCCCCACCCTTACACTCTTACCCAGGGTTCCCGAAGATTTTGTGTGCAATTCAATCCTTATCCATTGCTGTCCTTAAGATTTCAGTTCTGGTTGATTTTGCGACACTCTGTGTTTAATACTACACCAAACCATCATTGAGCTGGTGCTTTGTCAGAAATGCAACATTAGAGCAGAGCAGAGACCCAGTGTTTCCACTCTGAATGTGAAGCAGCAGCAGCAGCAGTAGAATGTCCTGATTGCTGTAGCAGTATAATCCAGCTCTGATTTGGTGTAAAGAGACTGAACCGTAAACAGTGAGGCTGATACCATGAGATTATATTTTGCTGGATTACATGCATGTGTCAATCCCTGGTCCTCAGATCTGAGTAGCCAAAGTCATGGTAAAGTTGCTGTGATTTGGACAAAATTGCAAGGTTGTACAGTAGGGATGCACCATAGTATCTGCACGTCATTGGTATCGGCCAGTATCAGCTTTAAAATAAGCCATCAGAATGCTTTTTTGTTATTTCACACAATGAATGAATATTACATACATTTAAAAGCATTCTTTTTCATGTCTCCCTCTGCTGGTGGCCCATCACAATAAGAATATGCGTGCATAATATCATGTTATTTGCACCACAGAAGAGACGATGATCACAAAAATTAGGTGGGAAAAAAAGTGGATGTATCGGTATTTGTTATGGGCCAAGTATGTTGTCATATACCGATATTGGATATCAGCAATAAATCCAATATCGTGTATCCCTATAGTGCAGAATTCGTGAGAATTGGCTAAATTTGTGTTAATTATTGGGATCGCAACATCCTGGAGAGACTAAAAAATGAAGACTGTTAGCCACTGGTCACCAGGCATATTAGCATGTCAAAATTGAACTCGTCCCAAAAGCACTGCACACATGAACTGTTCCTCCACTGGCAAATCCACTGATGGTAGCAGTATATTGATTTCAGCCTAAAAGTTCATTTTTAAAAAAAGGTTGCACTTAGATATCTGAGCTTAAACGCTACATTAACCAAAAGCAGGAGCAGATGGAAGGTTTTTACTACAAGGATGTAATCTGAGCCATAGAATATTGTGGAAAAGTTTTGATTCTTCACTTATGACTTTAGTGGGAACCAAGCTCACCTCCTAACACACCCCAATGCACATACCCCATGTAAAAGGACGCCCCAGCTTTCACTCCGCTCCTGTGTCACACCCTCTCCTCTTACCTGACATCAATCAAGTCCTGTGAAGTGTTGATTTTCACTGTTTGTCACTTTAAAAAATGGCACCAGCTGATTGAAAGCAGATGAAGATATGTGTCAGGTGGAAGTGACTGTTTTTTGACCCATAGTGTTAACTCACAGCAGGGCTGTGTGTGCACTGAAGTTGAATATTTTAATCTTTTAGCATGTGTGCATTAAAAACTAAGCAACAGATAAATCATTTCTCCTACTGTCTGTATTGTTGAGGCCTGATCAGAGTGCATGATCACTAGGGCTCACTAACTGCTTCTGTTTGATCTCCAGAAATACATGCAGGAGGCCCGCAGCCTGGGGAAGAACCTGCGACAGCCTAAACTGTCTGATCTGTCTCCTGCCGTCATCGCCCAGACCAACTGGAAGTTTGTGGAGGGGCTGCTCAAGGAGTGTCGCATGAAGGTGAAACATAAAGCTACAGCATGTCACTGCACTGTGATCCATTAGTACACTCACTGACCTCCTGACATCATTCTCCTCCCGACCCCCCCGCCCCCCCCCCAACACACACACACACACACACACACACACACACACACACTGGGTGGTTTTCACAAACCCACAGCTCTGAGGGCTTTCATCTCTCATGAACAATACATGCAGGGAGACAGAGTTCATTCATCATGTTGCATCAAGACTAAATTATTGTCAAATTTGTTTATAGTTTACATTTCAATTTCAATTTTGTTTATAAAGCCCGATATCACAAATCACAATTTGCCTCAGAGGGCTTTACAGCATACTACATCCCTCTGACCCTCACAGTGGATAAGGAAAACCTCAGGAAGAGCAACTGAGGAGGGATCCCTCTTCCAGGACGGACAGACGTGCAATAGATGTCGTACAGAACAGATCAACATAATAAATTTACAGTAATCCATATGACATTGCATTATAAAATATCACCTGGTAGGCTTTATTACTTTTTTATGCATTTTCTTTACTTATTTATCAAGTTTTTTGCCTTAGTGCCAGCAATAGCCATGGCTAGAGGTATTATGTTTAAGGGTTGTCTATCTGTCCCACCCTTGTGAACCTGATATCTAAAGAACACCTCAAGGGAATTTCTTCAAAACTTTTCTTCAAACTGCAAAAATGTCCACTTGGAAGAATGAACTGATTAGAATTTTGTGGTCAAAGGTCAAGCTCAGTGTGACTTGTTACACAAAGTATGTTTTTGGCCATAACTCAATAATTCATATGCTTATTCTGACAACACGTCACATAAATGTCTTATAGGATAAAATAATGAAGTGATGACATTTTTTGTCGAAAAAGGTCGAAGGTCAACTTCACTGTGACATCATAATGTTCTGCATAAAACACTTTTCTGGCCATTATTCAATGTGATATCAGGAAAGGAGAACTTTGGTCAGATAAATGAATTGGTGACACTCATTTTGGGTGCCCACCTTCAAACTGTGCTGATTGTAGCGATCTTCTATGCTGTCAGGTGGAAGACTTGTGTGAAGCATCCATATTTTCACAGACATAGATGTAAACTCTAAGAGAAACTTGACTGGTGTGTGGAGGCATATAGCTGTGGGGCTGTAATTCCAGTCCATTTTCTGGACTCCTCAGTATAATTATTTAGCTTTTTTGAAAAATAAGTGAGTTTGAAATAGAATAATAAAAGACAAATGCTCTCTGTAATTTTGAAAAATTGAGTTTCAACCATGGCACTATGTTCAGTACACTGGAATTATTCAACAATAAAAAAACAATAATTCCAGATGATGATCTGTTGAACTCTACATCTGAACTATCCCTTCAGAACATATGTATAGTTATCCTGGCAATCCTATTGCTTATTCAAACAGCATCTTTGTGCATTTGTGTGTGTGTGTGTGTGTGTGTGTGTGTGTTCAGACCAAACGTATGCTGGTGGAGAAGATGGGCCGGGAGGCAGTGGAGCTGGGCCACGGTGAGGCCAACATCACCGGACTGGAGGAGAACACTCTGATCGCCAGCCTATGTGACCTGCTGGAGAGGATCTGGAGCCACGGGCTGCAGGTCAAACAGGTCAGCACACACACACACACACACACACACACACACACACACACACTTTAACACTCCGGTAAACACATGAAGCTTCATACTGTCACTAGCCTGTGCACATGCATTACACATTTATAATAAAGCAAATCTGATGGCACACAGACACTCTGCTGTCAGTATAAACGCATTGTGCTTAATCAGGTTTGTATGATCATATTGGATATTAAGGTTAAGAGGTTATTGCCTGATAAATCCTCTTTGTGTGTGTATAATCTTCCTCCTCATCAGTGGATGCTTTAGCTGTCTGTATGTGTGTTGTGTAACCTCTCAGGGAAAGTCGGCCCTGTGGTCCCACCTGCTGCACTACCAGGCCCGAGAGGAGAAGCTGGAGCAGCAGCAGGCTGAGTCACCTGGTAAAACACACACATACACACTCACTGTCTGCCCTGTGTTATCTAACACGCATTTCTGATAGTAAAAAAGCCATCATATCCTGTATGTCTCTTCAACAGTGTCACATGTCCCTGAGAGGAGGAAGTCTGACTCTTCCATAGCGATGCCGTCTCTACGTGTGTCTCTCATACAGGATATGAGGTATTTCATTGCTGAATTACATACACATTGGCATATATTTTCCACTTCCAGTAACCTGATGTCAGAATTGCTTTCTGACACCAACACCTGACATCAGAATCAGAGAATTAGCTCCTCTATCTGAAGCTGTGTCTTTGCACTGACCATATAGTAAATGAACAGATAAGTCACAGGCAACTGTCAGTGATAACAAAAGTAATATATGTTTGGGTTTTTGACTGGTGTGCAGACAAAGCAAGACATTTGAGGATGTCAACTTGCTCTATGAGGAATTGTGATTGGTACTTTTTACTACTGTCCTGATATTCAATAGACCAAATAGTAATACAATGAGAAAATAATCACCTGACCTGCAGCTCTCACTGTTGCCACTATGCCAAATTCACTCTGCAGCCTGGTGCTTAATATACAGCACAAAAACCTCCATCTCTAGGTGCTGTTGAAAAGCAATCTGGGAAATGAAGGAATCAAGTCATGTCAGTTTGGTTAATATAACCTAAAATCCTCAGAATTTGCCTTAGACCCCAGTTTCAAGTAAGAAAAAAAAAACACAAAAAAACTTTGAACAGGAGCCATTATGTCAGCTTTTCAAAGCCAGACTCCATTTAGAAAAAAAGCGATTTTACATTGCTGAACACAGGAGCTGCTGCTCTACTGCTGCCTCGATCAGTTAGTTTGTACTGCTGTGGGACTTTGGTGTTTAAAGGGTTGGATCAGATTCACCAAAACACACAGTAACACTAACTAACTAATTAAGGCAGTGGTAGACCAGCAACTTCTGTGTTCCGCTAACTAAAATTACTGTTTTTATGCCTTGCCATGGCCGAAGGCATGTTTTCGGGTTGTCTGCACGTCCATTCGTCCGTCCATCCCGTTCTTATGAACACAATATCTCAAGAATTCGTTGAGGGAATTTTTTCAAATTTAGCACAAACGTCCACTTGGACTCAACAATGAACTGATTAAATTTTGATGGTCAAAGGTCAACGTCACTGTGACCTTGTCTGTTGCATTCTTTTGAATGTGATTTCTGAGGAAAGCCTTGAGGGATTTTTTTTTTTTTCAAATTTAGCACAAATGTCCACTTTGACTCAACAATGAACTGATTAAATGTTGGTGATCAAAGGTCAATGTCACTGTGACCTTGTCTGTCTCATTCTTGTAAACGTGATTTCTCAGGAAGGCCTTGAGGGAATTTTTTTTTAAATTTGGCACAGACATCCACCTGGACACAACTATGAAATAATGAGAATTTGGTGCTCAGAGCTCAAAGTCATGCGAGCTCACAAAATATGTTTTTGGCCATAACTCAGGAATTCATAAGCTAATTATGACAAAATTTTGCATAAATGTCTAATAGGATAAAATAATGAAGCGATGACAGTTTATGGCATTTTCATTGTAACATCATGATGTTCTGTAAACACACTTTTCTGGCCATTATTCAACCTCATATCTCAGGAACAGAAGGGGAGACTATTGGTCAAATACTTAAGTGGTGACACTAATCTTGGGTGCCCACCTTGAAACTGTGCTGATTGTATAGATCTTCTGTGCTGTTGTTGCATCCATGTTTTCATAGACATGACTGTAAAGTCTAAGAGAAACATGACTGGTGTGTGGAGGCATACAACCATGGGATGGTAATTCTAGTTGTCAATGGAGTATGGTGGCTTTGAAGCAGGCATAGGTGGGGAATTTAGGCCATACAGCAAGGCAAGGCACTGAAAATATTCCATACACAGCGCACATTCAAACCGTTATTGTGTTTTCTGTAGGTGGCTAAAATACCTTTACATCCACACATTGACTTAAAAAAAAAGCAGATAAGGCAGGTAAATGGAAGTGGGGACACCAAAAGATAAATTACAGTAGTTTATCACTCAACTCCTGAGAGTCACTGAACGTCAGAGTGATGAGGGTAGATTTTTATGCCAGGGTGCCTGTTTTTATGAGCCTCCATCTCTCTGTCCTCCGTCTCCTCAGGCATATCCAGAGCATGTCAGAGATAAAGACAGATGTGGGACGAGCAAGAGCCTGGATCCGTCTGTCCCTGGAGAAGAAGCTGCTCTCCCAACACCTCAAACAGCTGCTGTCCCGGCAAGCCTTAACCAAGTGAGCACACATATGATCAACCAAACTCACACATACACAAGCTTTGTGCTTTTGATAGGTGAGATTTATTTCCATGTTATTCTCTGACAAGCAGCTGGACTAATATTGTTGCATGTGCCAAACGATGAGTTATTATTAATTAAAACAAATTTAATATTATATCAAAGTTGTGAAGACATCTTTAGATTTGACATTACAGCTTTTGGAGTAATTCCACTTTCTCTGTGAGTGCTATTAAATCTCTTTGTCATCCATCTCATGGGAGACTGTGGCTGCTCTTTATCAGGTATGATAAATAGATATGATATGTATCTGACAAACCAACTATTTGTTCCCATCCTTAAAATCTTTTCTCTTGTGAACGCAAAATATACTGTTTGAAAATTTACTCACATGGATCATAGACCTCACACTGTGTAGCTTGTCTGAAGGCTCATTTATGCTCCCTTTACGTACGAAAATGTATACGTCCGTTTCAAACGATGTTACCATCACTGCCCACATACTTCCATGCGCCCTTTACGTTGGCATGGATGTTAACCAATATATCCACCAGGAGGCAGCCCAGCGTCAAAAGTTTATGACAACAACAAACTCAAAAACACACATGGCGACTGTGGAGGAGATACTGATAATGTACCTCTTGCATAAAAGACAAAAACAGAGGCAGCGTTGTAGGAGGCGGTGGTTGGTGAGGCTGTTAAATACATCGCGACTGGAGGACGGAGAATTCTTTTCTCTAGTACTGCCGATGAGAGAAATTGAATTGTTATTTCTTCTTCGTGTCTCTCTAGAGCTACGTATCGGGTAGTGACAGCAACAATGCCCCCACAGTTCCAAGTAGTACTGCTACGTTTGACCAGTATAAGTAAGCTTTATGGAAACGTGCAGAAATACGGACGAAATGAACGCGGAGCACGAACAGAAGGCTCCGTCCGTATCTGGATCCGTATTTAACGTTGAGCATAAATGGGCCTTTAGTAAGCTTTGAGTAAGCCTCACTGGGGTTCACTTGGCTGGAATACACTCACTGCTGCCCCTTGTGGAAGATTACAGTACAGACTTGTACAGTGAGTGTGTTTCTCCCCATCAGCCACCATAGGCAGCAATGAGCATATTTAAGCTGCATTCAACAGCAGCAACAGCAATGTGTGTGCCAAAATATGAAGCTGACGAGGAAGTGCCAAAAACTGCAGTTCCTCTAATGGCCACTTGAGGGCTGGCTCAAAGAGCGAGTCGATCCCCATAGCTCCCCATGTTAAAATGCCCAACTTTACAGCTGAAATAAACATGTTTACAGCCTGGTACAAAAAATGGTTTTGCTGTTGCAGGCTTGGCAGCATGTCTGTCCATAATAAACAAAAATCATTTGACAAATCTCGGTATTTAACATCCTGGACGTGACCGCAAAGAACAAAACTGTATGCATCAAGAGATTTGTGCACCTAAGTAGTGTTGCATTGTATGGAAAAGGGATACTTCAGCTGCCAGTATCTAGTTTAACAGAGGAATTTAAATGTACCAAGGTCAGGACAGAGCTCTTGTTATCTGGGAGTAAGGACGTGGTAGTTAGGAGTGTGGTTCCAAATCCAACCAAGGGGAGGAAGTGGAACCCAAGATCGGCAGTTCAGGAGGCAGAGGCAGCTCTTAGACATGCAGAGATTGTAGGTAATGTTCAGTTTGGCCGGGGAGGCCTGGGGCTTGGCTCAGGTAAACCGGTATGGAATACAGCAGGCCTCAAAGATAAAAGAAAGCTGGTTGTAGAACAGATACGCAGACAGGAAGAGATAGTAAGGGGTGCAAAGGTAGTGGCCCAGGCTAAACAGGGACAGTGGTTGAATTGGGAAAGTGTAGAGAAGAGGAAGCTTAGTTGGAGGGACCTGTGGAGTATGGAGGAGAATCGTATTAGATTCCTGGTAGGGGCTACATACGATGTGTTACCAACCCCCCAGAACCTAAAACTGTGGGTAAATGAGGACCCATCATGCCCATTGTGTTCACGTACCGCAACTTTAAAGCATATTTTGTCAGGCTGTAAAGTTAGCTTGTCACAAGGCCGATATACATGGCGACATAATCAGGTGTTGAAATGTTTAGCTGCAGGCATCGAAGGGAAACGAAGACAGGTGAATTCAGAAGGTGTTAAGGATAGGGGCTTAGTAATTCAGTTTGTCCGTGAGGGAGAGAAATACAGAAGGGATAAGTTAGTGAGGAGGCAAGGGTGTGGCCGCCTAGAAGGTGCTTGTGATTGGGAAATGCAAGTAGATTTAGGGGGAAAGCTTGTTGTTCCTCAGGAAATAGTCTGTACCAGGCAGAGGCCTGACTTAGTGTTGTGGTCAGTGAGTCAACAGATAGTTTATTTCATTGAGCTGACAGTTCCTTGGGAAGACTCAGTGGAAGAAGCCTATGAAAGAAAAAAGCTTAGATATGCAGACTTAGGAGCAGAAGCTGAGCAGCGAGGATGGAAGACTAGGATTTGTCCAGTGGAAGTGGGGTGTAGGGGATTCATAGCAAGATCAACTGTCTCACTCCTGGGGGAACTCGGAGTGCGGGGACAGAATTTGAGGAAGACAGTGAGGGAAATGTCAGATGAAGCAATTAAATGCAGCCAGTTTATCTATTACAGAAGAAATAATGTCAGCTGGGGGCCAGCAGGGGGAACTACTAAGCAGGGCACATAACTCCTTGAGATCAGGTGGAGAGATCCACTTCCTGTCAGGAGAAATCCAGGAAGAGGAAGTATTTAAGTGTGGGAGTGGCCTATTGGAATCCATTTTGTTTGAGGCCATGCGGCAAGGTGAGTGTGCTTGCTGATCCTGTAAGTCCAGTTAGCTCCTTTAACTTTAGCTTATATTGTAGTTATGCTATGTAGTGTGTGAAATAGAGTATGGTGAATGTGACAGGAAAGCTAGTATCAGCATTGCTTCTGCCTGGAGCTCGCATGTATGGAGCCTGGGTTTGGTTGAAGATGGCAGTGCTGTTTGGGCTGAGAAAGCCATGTGTAAGTAAGAAGGAAATCCAGGAAGAGGAAGGTTATTTAAGTGTGGGAGTGGCCTATTTGAATCCATTTTGTTTGAGACCATGCTGCAAAGTGAGTGTGTTTGCTGATCCTGTGAGTTCATTTATCTCCTTTAACTTTAGCTTACATTGTAGTTATGCTATGTAGCGTGTGAAATAGAGTATGGTGAATGTGCTAGTAAAGGTAGTATCAGCATTGCTTCTGCCTGGAGCTCGCATAAACGGAGCCTGGGCTTGGTTGAAGTTGGCAGTGCTGTTTGGGCTGAGATCACTGTCCAGCCTCCTGGAGGTGTCATTGTTGTGAGGGCTCGTCCTGGGGAGGTAGACTGTACAGCCTAACCCGGCGGGGGAGTGTGATAGCCTAACAAGGCTTCCTTCCCTGGGTCTACCTCCTCTGTGGTAGTATAGGTAAGGTAAAGGAGGTTGTTCGGTTAGTGTGGGGAGCAGTGAGACCTGGCATTAGGGGAGTGTCTCTGGGACGCCAGAGATCACTGTCTAGCCTCCTGGAGGTGTCGTGGGACTAACTAGACGAAACACCGGTGAAAGGAGGTTCCCACCCGATGACCCCAAAGACATGCTAGTTATCACTGCTCACGGGTCTGTATAGTTAAGCCTTGCCATAATAGCTTATCGTAGGGCTTAGGAGGATTATTCACTGAGCGCTGATCCCTTTTTTTTTTTATTATTATTAGAGCACAAACTTCTTGTGTTTATTTGAATTCCTCATATAGACACTTGGTTTTTCCACAAGGTATATGAAGATGTCCGGCCACTGTAACTTCTACTGCCTTTTAGTTGGATCCTTGACCCAGTGTCCCGACTCAGGGTTAGTTTGTTAGTGCAAGATCATAGACACTTAAGCATACATCCATACATTATGATCCATGTGTAGTAGAAAATAAAGTTTTGTCTTCATTTCATTTAATTATAACATCATTATATAGGCTATTGTCTCAGCAGCCACAAGTAGATCATAAAGTCATGGATATAAAAACAACTCACTGCAATCAAATGAGAAATGTAAACGTTATATTTCTTTTCACGTTTTATTTGGCGCTCACATAGACACCACTACCGTCCCTTACTGCCACCAGTTTTACACCGCCCACAAAATGTTATCACTGTGTACAAACAAAGGGTCTAAAGTTACCATATTCTATTTTTTTTTTTTTTTTTTAAATCACAAAGTTTAACAGACACCTACAAAAGTCACATTGCTTCTTCCTCTCTGGTTTACTTGTGATAGAAGCAGTTAATACATGCTATCCCATAGACAAAATAAAATATTAGAGATAGCCACTATGATGTCATTCATTGGTTTGTGGACTCCCCTTTTAAAGCCTTGAGTCTGGCATTTTAGCCGTCATCATCTTGTGAAGATAACCCTAACTCTAGCTGCTAGCTTGGGTAGCACGGTGCATGTACATCTATGATTTACTGTGATAAGACTAGTGCTAAGTACTGCTAGCAAAAAAATGGGCTTCAAACCATTGAAAATAATATGCATTTACCTGAAAAACAACATTCAACTCCTCAGAACGTCTTTTAGTCCACTGAACAAGACTTTTTAGGTGACCAGAACATTACAGTTAACTCTCATGAACTGTAAACACGCTGATGCTGGGAATTGACTGTTTTAGAGCCAGCTTCAAGCACTTGTGTGTCATTTTTCAGCCCCAGAGGCTGACGCTTGGGCTATCCATAGCCAGCACCTGACCTAACATGAGAACTTATCCAAACACAAATCTGACACATGCTGAGAAGTTCTTCATACATATTAAGACAGTAAATAGTAATGATAGTAATAATAATAACTTTATTTGTATAGCACTTTTCAAGCTGAAAACACAAAGTGATACTAATAAAACATAAGCATATACATATGCCTACACCGACATATTCACTTAAACACATATATACCTGTAAAGTTTGAACAGCAGATGGTAATATTCAGATGGTGAGGGAGATATCCTAGTGATACTTTGGTGTATTTGAAACTGACCTGGCTATGCTGTGCTGTGGTTTTTCTACAGGAAGCTGTACAAACGTTACGCCTTCCTGCGCTGTGAGGAGGAGAAGGAGCAGTTCCTCTTCCACCTGCTTTCCCTCAACGCTGTCGACTACTTCTGTTTCACCAGCGTCTTCACCACCATCAGTGAGTTCCCCCTCTGCTGCATGTGACCTCTGACCTCTATTCACCTGTCTCCTCCTCTGTACACCTCTTGTGCATACACTGCACGCTGTACTACTGCAGGAATGTTATTTGTTGTATGAACAGCTGTGGCTTTAGGAAGCTAACTAATCTTACCACTGGCACCTTCCTGTCCACCAAAAAACAGGCCAACTCCATGTCACTCCTCATCCCCATACTTTCCTTCAGTGCTCACTCGTAAAAGGGAAAGTTAAAGCCAACCCCAGAATCACTTTCATTTTGGAATGAGCTTTGTTTGCTTGCTGTTTGTTCTTGCTATATTTGCATTTTTTTTTTAGTGCTGTATTCACAATTTTTATAGCTTGCTCTTGGTTGCATGTTGCTGGCGCCTGGTCACTACCTGAGTGTTGTGTCTGGGAAAGTCCCAAACATAGCAAAATTATTAGAAAATAAGGAAATACAGGCAGAGGGCAGAGTAAGTGATGATTGAGAGGGATTGCTTTTTTGTAAGTCTATAAATTGTTGTTATGCCTTTGCGCAGTCGAAAGCTGTAGCCAGAGGCATTGTTTTGGGTTGTACGTCCCATTCTCGTGAATGCAATATCTTAAGAACACCTCGAGGGAGTTTTTTCAAATTTGGCACAAACATATGGACATATGGACTTAACAATGAACTAATTCGATTTTGGTGGTCAAAGGTCAAGGTCACTGTGACCCTGTCTGTCTCATTCTTGTAAATGCAATTTCTCGCTAAAGCCTCAAGGAAATTTCTTAAAATTTGACACAAACGTCCACTTGGACTGAAGAATAAACTGCTTAGAATTTGGTGGTCAAAAGTCAAGGCCGGTGTGACCTCACAAAACATGTTTTTGGCCCTTACTCAAGAGTTCAATGCTAAGTACGACGAAACTTCACACCAATGTTTGAGAGGGGTTGAGAAAATCATGCCTAATATACATTTAAAAGTTGTGTTGATGTTGATGAGTAAAATGTTTTCGGTACTTAGAACAAGGAGGGATGAAATTATGAAGACAAGATGTAGCTTTTTAAAAATCTGGAATGTATCCTCACTGACTGCTGTAGGCATCTATAAACCACCACACTCCCCCTGCGGAACATCTAAAGCCTTGTGTATCACCATAGACTCCTCTTCCCGCTTGTTCCCGTCTGAGTTACTGGGTTAATAACAGATGAATGTGGATCAGTGGCAGGCTGAGATATTAGTATGAATAAACCATGAGGATGTATGTACAATTTAATCAAAGATTTAAAACACAATGTATTATTCAGCTGCCAGAACAGCTGAGCCTCTCTGTCAGATAAATGAACACTGCGCATGTGGACTGTGCATGTGTGCAGCCACAGGTGATGCTTTGAAGTCTCTGATGTGTTATTCTGTTTCCTCCCTGCTGCAGTGTGAATCTTTGGTTCCATAATTAAATTGACCCAGTTAGATAACCTAGATTGAGTCTAATGAGCATGTTAGTGTTTACTCCTCTGTTCTGCCGCTGACGTGGTGTTCACCCCTGCAGTGATCCCGTATCGAGTCGTCATCATCCCCATCAAGAAACTGAGCAACGCCATGACCACCTCCAACCCCTGGGTGTGTGTGTCAGGAGAGCTGGGAGACTCGGGCATCATGCAGATCCCAAAGAATGTCCTGGAGATGACCTTTGATGTGAGTAGTGTGACCTAAAACCCCTCATGAGCTGAGCACTCAGTCACTGGTTTGTGGAGTGCGGTGCAGTTTGGGTGATGTCTGCTTTTGTGTGTCACTTCCACTCTCTCTGTTTAGCTCCTTTGTCACTATGACATCATCACACTCTGCATGCTAGCAGCAAGTACATTAAAAGAACTGCAGGTAGTTTTACTTTTTCATTAAAGGGTCATTCCAGTTTATTTCAAAGTTAGATAGACTGGTCATTGTCACACAGTTATCAGCCCTATCTCTCACGACTGTCTGTTGTGAACATTTATCACAGTTTAAATCCTAAACTCCTGCTTCAAATGTGAACTACCGTACTGACTGTAGTTATGCTCACATACAGTTACTAGTTACATTTCAGGTGTAGGCCTACTCACTTTCAGTTTGACCTCCAAATGAAGTGGTTTAGATAATCTGAATTAACTGCTGGTTTGTTCACAACCCAGAGGTGGGACCATGTCATTAACTTGCAAGTCACAAATAAGTCTCTAGTCTTTGCACTCAAGTCCCAAATCAAGACGGACAAGTCCTAAGTCCTTAATTTTGATGTTTGTGTCCTAAACAAATCATAATGCACTTTTTACAAAGTGTAAAGCGAGATTATACTTCTGTATGGAATCAGTGCCATAGCGACAGATTTATAGTTGTGCATGGGCTCTTATGCAGAGCCTATGCCGAAGTCTACACACATGGCCCACGCCATCGTGAGTATTTATACTTGGTGCAGTTGTGTGTCTTTGTTGCTTTGCAGTTACACCTCCAAAACACTAGTAGACGATGAGATTTCTGTGACGTGCTATAGAGTCTGATTGATTAAAAACACACCTGAAACACACATTAAACATGGCTCAATAGTGACATTATCAAATACAGGTACACAAATCAGCTCTATTAAAACTCACCAGATTCACTGACAAAACACTTGTATTTTGCTGGACGCACTTTCCCCACAAATACAACATGCCATAGCCTAACAACTTTCTATTTTTGTAAGCTGAAAACCATGAATGAATGAATAGCGTTAATGTTAGCTGATTCAGGAAATGAAGGCGAATTAATTGATTTGTGGAACACTTTTGAAATAATATGTTTTTTTAAATTGTAGGTTTCCAACGTCTTTCACGCCAAACTGACTTCCTGCACAAAGTGTCAACCTGCCGCCGTGCTCCAGTTATGAAAAATAATTCATAATTAGGGATCCTATGTATCTAAAGAACATATTTACCTCACAAAAAATAAAGAAAATTGATCTGACCAGTGGAGGTGATGTTAAAATTACCTGACCTACTTTAGAGACATAAATCCAGTCCCAATGGGGCTGGAGACTTTTTACTGTCCTTCTCACACTGCATGTCTGTTCAGGTGCATGTTGACACAGGTGATGTTTTTATTCCGTTTGCATGCGGACATTTTTGTTTTCGATTTTGAGATCAACACGCCTTCATTTTGATGTCCATCCATTGTGTCCTAATAAGTGTTTTCGTGTCCCTCAGTCTGCTTTCAGGCCTCACACACACATCTGCGCCTTGTTCAAGGTTAGAGGAAGCCCCTGCTCCCTTTTCATCCATCTCCCATTATCTCCATCTGTCTCTTTAGAATGCTTCTGTTCCAGTTGTCCTGCTGCCCGTTTCCCCTGTTGGCATTGCAGTCATGCAGTCAGCCTCATGTCACTTTTGAATGGGTTGTAGTTGGCCTTTTATTCTGTTAGAAAGTGCTTTAAGAATAGAACAGCACCTTTAATTCAGCTACAGTCACACCCTTGAATCTAAGTGATGTCTGTAGTATATTTCATGCCTGTACTGTAAGTATGAGCACTGCTTAAAACTACTAAGCGATTGGGTTACAGATAATCGTTTAATGAAGCTAAATGCTTTGACTTACTAAGTGTGGAAACTTCAGCACAGTGCATTCTGGGATAGCATCATTGAAAAGGTTTAAGGATTGAATCCAGCTAATTCCTCTTCATCTTCTTAATAACACACTTACATTGAACTACCATAAAACTTCATTTAAACGCCAGGTCCCTTTTACTAGCCCGATGTGGCTACACATTTTGACAAATAAACTCCAGTCTCAATTAGACTCCCGGTCTTGTTGCCAAGTGGTTCATTGTTTTTATGGAAGTTCTCCGTATGTATAAAACCAGGTTGTTGGCGACCTGAAATTATGTGTCCATTCCTCAATTACCCTGTAAGCTTCATATTCCTTTAGTCCATAAGGGTCCTCAGATCAAAAGAATCAAAAGTGTTTTTCATAAAAATGAACCCAAGTTGAGAGTATTGTTTTAACAGGATAAAGTGGTGTTGTGTCAGTATGTCAGGAGCTGTAATCCTCTAGTGCAACAACTCTCTTGCTGATGCCTTGTCTGTTGGAGCTAGATCAAATGAATGATTCATAGTTGAGATGGTATCTGAAGCCTAATTTTTAAATAAGTAATATTCATACTGGTTTAATAAACAGTTTGATTGTATTTCCCAACCTTTGCTGAGCAACAGTTTTGTGTGAGAAGAATTAAGGCCTGTCTTACATAGAGGCCTGTCACAAATTTAAGCAGATAATAACCTGGGCTATTAACTGAAGTTTTACAGTAACTGAGAGATCTATTCACTTTAATTTAAAGACAGTCCAATATAATCATTCTGGAAGTAGGCACTTTTTATGTTCAAGGGCAGACAGCAGCAGCACTGTAGTAACAGTCCTGTACATCAGGATACACCGATAAAGTATAGAAAGTAGGATTTGATATTGCATTATGATATTATTAAAATGCTTTGCATCAACTACAATTTCTCCCTGGTGTGTGTGTGTGTCTGTAAACAGTGTCAGAACTTGGGGAAGCTGACCACTGCGCAGCTGGGTCACGATAACGCTGGCCTTCTGGCTAAATGGCTGGTGGACTGTGTCATGGTGCGCAATGAGATCACAGGACATACCTACAGGTGAGTGCAGCCTGTGTGTTTTTAGCCGTGCTAGCAGCTCAGGATAGTCGGTCCCTCCACCACTTTGGCCCAGATTGAAATATCTCAACAACAGATGAATTACCATGACATTTTGTACAGATCGGTATAGATAGATAGATAAACAGATATCTAAGGTCCCCAGAGGATACATTCCAACAACTTTGATGGTCCTCTGACTTTTCCTCTATTGCCACCAGTAGGTCAGAGTTTTCACTTGTCAAACATCTCAACATTGACCACATGGATCAGCACAAAATTTTGTATAAATATCCACGGTGCCCAGATAATTATTCCTAACACTTTGGTAATTACTTGACTTTTCCTTTAGTGCTGAGGTTGACGTTTTAATTCTTTATTAAAATATCTCGAATATCAAAGTTCTTTTTAGAAAAATTACCCGTTTTGGAACCAGAAACATAAACTCTCTTTGAGGTTTTTGTCCTTTTCTAAAAAATACACACTACGTGAATATTAGGGGTGGGGTGAAAAAATTGATACAGCATAGTATGGCAGTATTTTTGGTTTGGCAATATCTAATCATCTCACAGTGCTAAGTATCAATTTTTTTATCATATAAGTTATTAATATTACAAATGCAAACAACAAAAGGTCAAGACATGGGGGAAGTGAAAAGAAAAGAAATAAATATAATGTAGTAATAAGACAAAAGCAGGTCCATCTAAACCCTTCAGCACTTTGTTGTCTCCGTCCCCTCCAGGTTTCCATGTGGTCGGTGGCTTGGTAAGGGCGTGGATGATGGCAGCTTGGAGAGGGTCCTGATCGGTGAGCTGGTGGTGCCTAACGGAGAAGACGATTCTGGGAGAGGGTGCCGTACACCCCCCCTGCAGCGCTCGCCATCCCAGACCAGACGCATCAGCATCACATCACTGTCTGGACGAGGATACAGTCAGTATCTGTCAGGACTCACATGCATCAAATGCTTTCAGCTCCTGATAGCTGCCAACTCAGATGCAGAACAATTCTGACTGTAAATAGTAGAGTTAATGTAGAGAGGACAAAATAACACTAGCAGGGAGTTTAAAGTTTCATGTAGCAACTATTTTTTGTATCGTTGCACAGAAGGAAGTGTGCATCTACTCATGGACAAGAGGCTTGTGACAGTGCGAGATGTGAACATTAATGGCGTCCTCCTCAGCTGAGCTGTAATGTTAGCTAGCTTAGTGGTGCTAGGTGAACTAGCAGTGGATGCACGCTTCCTGCTGCGTATTGATACAATTGGCGGGTGTAGTTCAGTAGACAGAAAGTAGTTCCTACATCAAACTGCTCTAGGTCTGTGGATTGTCTTGAGTAACCGGGTCATGATTTCTGGAAAGACACATTACAGTGGAGTTTTTCAAATGCATTTTTTTGGCACTTTGAGCCTCACAAGCAGAGTGCTGTCTTGATTCATTATATTGATGAGAGGGCAGGCACCTCTACTGCTGATATCTCCAACACTAGCATGAAACTCTTTTCTTAATTATAGAACCAACATCAGCACAAATCCAAGAGGCCATCGGGGAGGCTGTGAACAACATCGTCAAACACTTCCACAAGCCAGAGAAAGAGGTGAGTGACTGATCTCAGTCTCAGTGGTGTCTGCCTGATAATGAATGAACTCATTTTTTAGCAGCTTCATCACTGCTGTACTTTCTCTGAACCTTTCATCATTTAATTCTGTCTTTATCCACAGACTGTGTTCATGATGTTGTAGTCGGTAAAGTGGTGTTTTATAGCTGCTCTAATGGCAGTCCTACAGCCACAGCTCACTAAGTGCTCTCTGTCAGTGGACTGATGGAAAGAGAATAAAGAGTGGAGGGCAAGAGGCCATGAACCAGACAGTACTGCTTTCATGTAGTTAGAGGCTGAAAATCTGCCACAGTGAAGCCAAGAGAACACTGCAAGACTCGAAATTCTACAAGACAGTAAAAGGATTTGTAGCATCAGCAGTCTCAAAGTGTAAGATCATGTTCTGGGGCTGTCCAGTATTATGCGGCTAAATGTTGGTTCCTAACTAGCCCAATTCGGAGAAACTCCTATAGATTCATAAGGATATAAGTGCTAACCAGCTGCACCTAAGGCCCTGTCTACACCATGACATATGGAGACATTTTAACACTCGCCAGCATTAACCTGCTGCCAAAGTCTCCTCTCGTTGCAAAGCTAGTAAAGTGTACAGGCGAACAAAACATTACCTTTTTCAAAACACCATCCGGAGGTCTCATCAACGTTCATTCCCCTTCAATATAAGGGCTCAGGAACTCACTCAGTGATATGAGTGATGCTCTGGGCATGCGAAAGTTTTCCTTCAACTCATCATTAACAACAATCCCACTCTGGGAAGTGTCCCACCATCTGCTGTTATATGACCGGGCCTGATCCAAAACCGTTGTTTCTGATGGACCAAATAACACTAAGCGCAGTAGACGACTCTGTTCATCTGTGACGTTGTGCAGCAATACTAAGTTTAAGTGTAGTCATAAGACCAAGCAGTGCTAACCCAACATAAACAAACCACCATTTTTATGCCTCCGTGCCAGCAATAGCCCTGGCCGGAGGCACTTAGCTTTTCGGGTTGTCTGTACATCCACACTTATCATGAATGCGATATCTCAAGGACACCTGGATCTTCACCGGGACTCCAAAATGAACTGAGTCGATTTTGGTGGTCAAAGGTCAAGGTCAGCCTGACCTTGCATCCATCTCATTCTCGTGAAAGCAATATCTCAAGAACAGCTAGAGGAAATTTCGTCAAATTTGGCACAAACATCTGCTCAGATTCAGTAATGCACTGATTAGTTTTTGGTGGTCATAGGTCAAAGGTCAAGGTTACTGTGACCTTGCATCCATCTTATTTTGTTGAACACAATATCTCAAGTACAGCTTTAGGGAATTTCCTCAAATTTGCCACAAATATCTGCTCTGATTCAATAATGAACTGATTAGATTCAGATATTGAATTGGTGACACTAATCTTGGGTGTCCACCTTGAAACTGTGCTGATTGTATAGATCTTCTGTGCTGTCAGGGGAAAGATGTGTATGAAGCATCTATGTTTCCACGGAATAATCTTTGTAATCTGGGAGAGAAACTTGACTGGTGCACAGAGGCATACAATTACAGGGCGGTAATTACACAATACACAAAGCAACAACGGGCATGCATGAATTGAGGAACTGACAGAATGGTTTCCCAAATGCTCCATTTTACATGTCCATACAGATACACAGTAACTGGAGTTTTAAAAAATCTTTACCTTAAAAGGCATTTTAAAATACCTCAGTTTTAGGGACCTAAAACTCAGTTTGTGTGTGGACGAGAGGCCAAAACATAGAGGAAATATACTTTTTCAGAAAATGTCTGTATATATGTAGACAGGGCCTCAGTGGGAGAGAAGTTAGAAGTAGTCCAGGGGACTCCTGGCTCACTTAATTCTACTCTTGGGCAGTGGGCAGCTGCAGGTGGATTAATGAGGATCTAACAAAATTGGCTCTACAGAATTACTTCATAAAAGGATTAGGACTTGATTTGTTAACTGGACAAAAATCAAAAATTTGTGACTGTAAGAAGTGTCTCTGCTAGCGATGAAGCTTCAGTGAATGATCAGCTGAATTTGCAGCATCCCTCATCTTTATGAATCTTAATAGAGAGTGCCAGCTCAGTATTTATCTGTCCAGCCCACAGCTTCTGGTTCACTCTCACTGCTCTCCTGTTGTTGTTTTCTGCTGTTTTTTGGAGAAGAAGCTCTGAAAAGTCACTGTACGTTACAAACAGCAGAAACACACAGTTAGCTGGTAAATATTTAGCAGCTGAATATAGACTTAGATTCATCGAGTGGACACAGACACAAAGACTCCAAATGAATAATAACATTGCTGTGTAACTCATGGATTAGTCATTTTGCAACTGTTTGCTGACAAGTTCAACATATCAGATAAAATAAGATAAAACTGTATTACTCCCACAGTGGGGAAATTTACATGTCACAGCAGCACAAGAGTCAGAAGCAGAAGATAAGGAAAAAAGTCATTAGGTGATCAGTGAAGTGGGACAAGACAAAAACACGGCAAAAATACATATAAGATAAAATCATATCATTCTGTATACACTATATATACTTTTTATATAAATAAAAAGTATATACACTATATATACTTTTTATTTATATAGATACTTTATGTTCATAATTGAGAGTGGCACAGGGTAACTTTATTATAATAAAATGGAAATATATCAGTATTGCAGTAAAATATAGTAAAATATTGCACAGTAAGAAACCACAGGAATGTTGCACAGTATAAATAGAAAGGATATGTGTAAGGATATGTAGCTGAACCAAAACCAAATCAAAGTTCCAGCTCACACCAGGATACTCAGACTGACACTTATTTTATAAACAGCTTACATTAAAAATAAAAAGGAGCAAACGACACGTTTCGCCTGTTGCTTCATTAGATTTGCTCTGAGCTTAACTGCCATCAGGTGTGTCTTTTAAATCATCACCTGCTGGCAATCAAAGAATCAGACAGGTACTCTACAAAACATCAACAACAAAGGCAAGAGCAACTATAATTCTACCATACAAAATGTCATTATGAATATTATTCTCATTATTCATGAGATAATGAGAGACAATTAAACTTAGGTAAGGATAAGAATATCCAGACTGCATACATTACTGCATACATGCTTGTTTTTAATGTAACCTGTCAGTACAATAAGTGTCAGTCTGAGTATCCTGATGTGTGTTGGACCTTTCGTTTGTGTTGGATTTCTTTTGGTTCACTGTGGTTTATCCTGCACAGGCTGGCACCCAGGAAAGAGGCACACCTAAGCAAGGGGTATCTTCACTTCTAACGATATTTACATGTATATGTATACAGGCTGATATAAGAATATGAATATGATGTAGTGTTATATTATGACAGATATAAAGATAAAAGTGTTACACAGTAACACAGTTTTCCCTGTGGTCTGTCTCTGCTATTGCTGGTTGTTGACAGTCCTGTTACATTATCCCCACCTCTCGTAGTCACCATGTTTTTCACGTCAGCTACTTGTTCCATCAGTGCAGACTGACCTGGTGGCGCGTGCTCTGCGCTACGTACAATACATCCTCAATACAGCCTCTCCATCTGAGTTAAATAGGAAGATGAGCATCTGTTTTTTATATGGTATTAAAAATGATACTGTCAGGATTTTACCCTTGTATACCATAATAATATATCTATACAAGGATAATTTTGATTAATAATTATCAGTAATGTAGATATAATGACCAAGTGGGTCAATAGAACAGCTAGAACAGTCTGATAAGTTTAGAAAATGACATCAATTAACTGTAATGCAGCCTTTAAACCAATGTCTAGTCTTATATCATGATGTCTGTATAATATTGATATATTGCCCAGCCCTATATCATAGTATGTGTACTAGTAAATATAGCTGTAGACCCACAGTAATTTTAAATTAAAGCACAGGCAGAGTTTATGTGGAGAGAGCTCAGTTGCCTCTCCTCATCCTGCTGATTTTTGTTCTGTGTATGTGTTTCATGTGTTGCTGTTTGGCTGTGTGGCTGCAGAGAGGCAGCCTGACCGTCCTGCTGTGTGGAGAGAACAGCTTGGTGACAGCTCTGGAACAGTTCTTCCATCACGGCTTCAAGTCTGCCCGACTCTTCCAGAAGACGATGTTTGTGTGGGACTTTGTTGGTGAGTGTGGAGTGACAGTGCCACCTGCTGCTGAGAAGATGAAGTGTTTATTTGGCCCATTACAGGAGATTTATGGGGAAATGTGTTAGTTTCACTTTTTTAAAATCTAATTTTATTCATTAAACCAGTTTTTGTTCATGCATATCCATCTGTGTATATTTTTGTCACATGTATATTGTTATTATTTAATAGTCTGCTATATGTCTGCTGCAGTTTTTTGAAAAGACTTGTGAAAAGGGAAGGAGTTGCATCACTGAAGTATCACTGAAGAGCAGTTTATGTCAGGACAAAATGAACATTTGTAGAAAGTTGTGTTAGGTGACTGTATAGAACACATGCTCAGTGTTCTTTACTCACAGCAGTGTTTGTTTAGCTGCCAAAGCACAGTGTGAAAGGAAACATGCCCTCCTTTCCCTCTGCAGAGAAGGCTGTTGCCTACATGGAGTCAGCTGACCAGATGGGAGACCTTCAGGAGACCGCCGAGCCCCTGGGGATGACCTGTCAATCACTCTGTCACTACGTCAATGCTATCAACTCCACCCCCAGGAACATTGGCAAGGATGGGAAGTTCCAGCTGCTGGTCTGCCTTGGAGCCAGGTACACTGCTGTTGTTCAACTACCTGGAACGTGTCTGCTCTCCTTATAATGAATTATAAGTCTCTTCTGGATGACCTTGACTAATTATATACCAGGGGTTAACTGATGGGGCTTATAATGCATTATGAAAACCTATACCTGCCTATACACACTTCAACAGTCAACTGTAGTAAGGATTCATTGTATGTTAAAGTCCATGCAGTATTATAAGTTATCATTGTATGTGATTAGTTAAGTGAAATACATATTGATGCATCTATAATAACGTGTGTGCTGTATGTGCCGCCTAGCTAGCTACAGCTATGATATAGTGGTTAGCACTATTGCCTCACAGCAAGTGGGTTCCTGGTTCAAACCCAGGGTTTGGGAGCCCTTCTGTGCGGAGTTTGTGCGTGTGTGTCTGTGCATGTCAGTGTGGGTTTTCTCCAGGTACTCCGGCTTCCTCCCACAATCCAAAAACATGCAGGTTAATTGGTGACTCAAATTGCCCATAGGTGGGGCATCGGTGGCTTAGTGGTAGAGCAGGCGCCCCATGTACAAGGCTGTTGCCGCAGCGGCTTGGGTTCGAGTCCAGCATGTGGCTCTTTGCTGCATGTCACTCCCTCTCTCTCTCTCTCTCCCCCCTTCACGCTTCACTGTCCTGTCAATTAAAGGCAAAAAATGCCCTAAAAAATATCTTTAAAAAAAAAAAAAAATAAATTGCCCGTAGGTGTGAATGTGAGTGTGAATGTCTTTGTATGTCAGCCCTGTGATAGTCTGGTGACCTGTCCAGGGTGTACCATGCATAATCAATCAATCAGTCAATCAATCAATCAATCAATTTTATTTATAAAGCCCAATATCACAAATCACAATTTGCCTCACAGGGCTTTACAGCATACGACATCCCTCTGTCCTTAGGACCCTCACAGCGGAAAAGGAAAAACTCCCCCCAAAAAAAAAACCTTTAACTGGGAAAAAAACGGTAGAAACCTCAGGAAGAGCAACTGAGGAGGGATCCCTCTTCCAGGACGGACAGACGTGCAATAGATGTCGTACAGAACAGATCAACATAATAAATTAACAGTAATCCGTATGACACAATGAGACAAAGACAGAGACAGAGAGAGATGCAGGACAGACAGTAATGACAGTAGCTTACAACAACATTAATGAAAGTAATAATATTATAATTACAGCTGTTGTGGTACAATATGTTGAAAGTATATATTAATATCTGATAGTATACATATGTGACAATAATCATATGTGTATAATAACAGTAGAAGTATGACAAATGATAACAGCATCTGGCAGGACCACGGCAGCAGCACAACCACACATGTCACACTATCCAGGCACCGCTGCGATATAAGTTAACCTACGAGACAGTGGAGCTCAAAGGCTCCGGAGAAGAAGCCGAGTTAGTGACATGCAGTACGGCCGAGTTAACGAGATGCAGTAACAGGACGTTAGTGTAAGCAAAGGACAGAGAGAGAGAGAGAGCGAGAAGGAGAGAAGGTGCCCGGTGTATTATAGGAGGGCCCCGGCCTATGTCAGCCTAACTAGGGGCTGGTACAAGGTAAGCCTGAGCCAGCCCTAACTGTAAGCTTTATCAAAAAGGAAAGTCTTAAGTCTAGTCTTAAATGTAGAGACAGTGTCTGCCTCCTGGACCGCAACAGGAAGATGATTCCACAGGAGAGGAGCCTGATAGCTGAAGGCTCTGGCTGACCATTTAAAGCATTATAGATGTGGTCTTCATAGAAAGTGTTACCAGATTTTTTTTTATTTTCATTATTTTAGGCCAATTTATTGAATGGGTTAAAATAATACAGACACAAAAAAAACCTGGGATCTTCAGCCACATATAAGCTACTCAGATAATATCGTTGTTGTTCAAAAGGGGTAAGAAGTTAAAAACATTTTTGGTCCTATCCTTTTATTTTCTATATATTAAAAGAAAATTAAAATTCAACAGTCATCAACGTCGGTGACATTTATCTCAGTCGGCATCCTGCACTACATAGGCATTCTGCTGAGGGTCAGTATGTACTGATGTATCACTCCAGCCACAGACGTAGAAACGTCATTTTACTATTTGTTCTGCAGAGACCGGCTGCTGCCCCAGTGGCTCCCCCTGCTGGTGGAGTGCCCGGTGATCCTGAGGATGTATGAGGACACAGCTTTGCTCAGAGACCGCACCACTGTCAACGCCCTCATCGGAGTCCTGGAGACGCTCCATGACTTCCCCATCACACTGGAAGCCTCGCTGGTCAAAGGCGTCGACCTTTAGCCCCAAGAGACACCACTGGGCTGCAACTCAGCTCTACATTTTCCTCTAACACTTCTCCTCACTACCAACAACTTCACCCACCCTTCCACTTTTAGCCTCTGGGATTAGACACATGACAAGGGAAGGAGAAAGTGAGGGACAAGAAATGAAAACTGAAGAGACATTTGGTTACCAAAGCAAAAAGTTCCACTGCTTCCTGTGAGAGTTCAGGGCTTTGGATGAGCCATAAGCTTGGATGCAGTATTATTACCCCGCCTGTGGCTCTGAAAGACCCTCTCTAATTAAATTATAAGCAGTGCTTAATCATGTTTTATTTCATAAACTACAAATCCCAATTACCTTACATTAGTGTGTAGAATTTTCCAGAACAAACTGTGTGTTTAAGGTTGATTTGCTATCTTCCAGGCAGCCATTCGTGACACCTTTTTTCATTACACCAAAAATCTTGAAGCAACGTAAAGCTTACTGTAATCCATCAGAGTATTTCATATTTTTCCTACTGTCAAGCCCTATAGTCCTGCTGAAGCATTGTCGCCTCACAGCAAGAGGGTTCCCGGTTCGATCCCGGGTGTGGGAGCCCCTCTGTGCGGAGTTTGCATGTTCTCCCCATGTCAGAGTGGGTTCTCTCCGGCCACTCCGGCTTCCTCCCACAGTCCAAAGACATGCAGATTGGGGATTAGGTTAATTGATAACTCTAAATTGTCCATAGGTGTGAATGTGAGCGTGAATGGTTGTCTGTCTCTATGTGTCAGCCCTGCGATAGTCTGGCGACCTGTCCAGGGTGTACCGTACCTCTCGCCCAATGTCAGCTGGGATAGGCTCCAGCCCCCCCCGCAACCCCCAAGAGGATGAAGTGGTTAGAAGATGGATGGATGGATGGATGGATGTTGTTTAAAATGCACCAACATGTAATGCTGATGTAATGTTAAGTACTAAAAACAGTAAGCTAATGTTGAGTTAATGTTTCTACAAGTTGATTTCCACAGTGTACTAAAAATAACTGACACAGTGGCTGCTTGGAGGGAAGAAAATCTAACAATCATAAGTACGCTTTGGAAAATTGCTGACAGTATTGTAGTTTTTAAAACGGGGGGGGGGGGGGGGGGGTGAAACCACTGATGTTTCTTTAAATGTAAGTAGCAGCAGAAGACGTGGTAGCTGTGTAGCCTAGTCTGCCTTCAGAAGGTACAAAAACTGTGTGATAGATTTATTTTCCTGCCTGCAACTGGCGATTATAGCGCCACCATCCCTACACCCATGTTAGCGTTAGCATTAGCAAGCATGCCTATGGGACATGGAAAGAAGAGACTATCTCAGGAAGAGACTGAGCGATCAGTGACACACTAGAACGAGGATTCTGTTCTGTAACCTACTGAGTGACTGAGTGTTACAGAGTCACCAGCTCTCCATGCTTCTCTTTCTTTTGATTCACTGGACTTGTGTTGGGCATTTTCTCTTCGTTCAGCCTATGGATGAACACAAAAACTGATGTCAGTGATGTGGCTCAGAGTCTGGAGCTGAACCTGTGGCTGCATGGACATTCCTACTGAACTACAGGCACCAACCTGGCTGTTTAAAATGCTGTTTCCAGTGTGTGTGTGTGTGTGTGTGTGTGTGTGGTTCAGTGTGTCATATTTCAAGGATGGTCATGCTCTGGTGCATGTTTTTGCCCTGCATTTATTTTTATATCTTTCGACTTAATGTTTTCAAAGTGATCAACTGGTTTCTGTAGTGTACTGTAACAGAGTGTGTGTGTGTGTGTGTGTGTGTGTGTGTGTGTGTTTGTCCTGGTAAGAGTGCGTGTATATCCTGGTAAGAATGCGTGTGTGCCTCATACATTAATTTATATTTTCCTAACAGTTATCAATGCCAATATTGTCACTTCAGTAACAGATTAAATGTTCAACAATATAATCTGAAGTCAAGGTTCACTTACTAGCTTCCTCTGGTGGTAAAAACTATAAAGTGGACCTTGAGTTATGATTATTTTGGAAGTATTTTTCCCAAGGTCAAGAGAGAACTTTTACGCAAGTAAGCAAAATGTTCCTGTTTCTAAATGAATGTAGTAATCGCTGAGATAGAAATACTAACAGTAGAGAGTTTGTAGAGAATCAACTGCTTGCAGTTTGGTCTACCTATGGGACATGTTTACATTAGCATGATGCATTCACTTGAGAAAAACAAATTAATCTCTGTTTTTGTGTTTTTAATGATATTATTTTAGAATTCTGGGAAAAGTTTTCATTGAGGAAAAAGTTCAGCTTTTCTTTTAATCAATTTTTTTTTCTCAGATTCATTAGAAAGATTTTCCAAATTCTCTTCTTGTTTTTTTTTTTTCTGAATTTACAACATTATTATCTCAGTTTCATTAGAAAAGTTAAAAAAAAATCTGCTTTTGTTTTTCTGAATTAACATTTCTAGGTCAGATTCATGACAAAAGTTTTTTTTTTTTAATTCTGCTTGTTTTTCCGAATTGACATTTTTATGACAAATTCTGCTCGGTTTTTTATTTATTCATTTATTTTTTTATTAATACTTCTGACTTAAATTCAGAAAAACAAGAGTGGTTTTTTTTTTTGTTTTTTTGTTTTTTTTTTATCCATTTAAACTAAAATGACTGTACTCTCAAGTGAATGCATTAGGCTTCAATATGTTGCATGAATCCTTCCATGGATGTGCTTTCAGTATTGTAATGCAACATTTATGTCAAACTTAACAGCAGGTGTCAGTAGTTCTTCCATCTTGGACATAAAAATAAGATAGCTGTAATGCTTAAATTTTAAAGGTGTTATCCTGTTTTTTTTTTTTTTGTTTGTTTTGACAACTAATCCCATGACAAGACCAAGACCAATAAGGTGTTAACGTACGATCATACGAGTGAATGCAGACAAGTGGCTCACCTGCCGAGGTCATATTCGTGCCTAATGTGGGCAGTGCTGGGTGTGATGAACACAGAAAGCTAGTTTGCTAGCTAATTTTAGCTAGCTTGCTAATAAATACCACGAAATATGACGTTACTGGTTCCATTTTCAAATGTTTAATGCTTGTGTCGGACTCACTGCCGGTCCGACAGCATCTCTCATGTGGGGTGGTTTGTATTTTTCATGGCCATTATCTTTCAGTATTGGCAACAATCAGTGTCTTCCCCACACATACTCCATTGCTATTGGTTGAGGCTGCGACTTCACCAGTCAAAGTCCATCAAAGTTAAACTCCACGCAACGCGAAGATGCAAATTTGCCTTGCTTCTGCAAGCAACGTTTAGTTCGCCCCTCTGCTTACACTGAATGGAAGTAAACTGGAAGCGAATATTCACTAGTGTTAATTTCACACGTGACCGTAACCTTAGCCCATTTCAGTACTTTCTGACTTCCCTGCCCTGTCTGTTAGAAAAGGCATAAATTAAGGATGCATGATAATTTCGGTATGTCATTGGTATTGCCAGATATTGGCTTTAAAATTAACTATCAGAATCAGCCAACATGCTTTTTCTTATTTTGCACAATGAATGAATGAATATTACAAAGCAAAGCATCCTATTTCATGTCTCCATCTGCTGGTGGAAAAACGTAGGTATACAGATTATCAGCCAAATAAGTTGTTATATATCGGCATATCAGATATCCGCAAAAAATCCAATATCGTACATCCCTAGCATAAATTTTTGGTACATTTGTTGGGGACTATTTTCTGCAGTGGATGAATACACATTTTGTTATCAAGAGGGCATTTACTGCGATAGGACGTTTTTTCTTTTTTTTTCTTTTTTCTTTTTTTGGCACATGGGTATACTGTGTGTGTTGGTCTTTTCATGAGATTTGTTAAAATGAAAACTATATTAGTCTTATCCTTTTATGTTTTAGCATACAGTGGATTCATTTGATACGAGTGTGTGATGTTACAAGCCAGCTGATAATTCCCATATTACATAAATGCAACATGACTTCTGTCAGATTCCAAGGGAGAAACTGGAAGAATTAAACTCAACCTTAGCAGCAGCCAGCAGAGATGAGTGGTAACAACTATTTTTCGTTCTCCTGTTTAACTTAAGCTGCATGATAGATTTTGCCACTGTAGAGACTTACTGCCGTCTAAATGAACCCTTTCTGAGAAATGGTGTAAATATTCTCATTAGTGCATGTTGACATGTAGACTGAGATGTATTTATCGTGACTCTCGCTTATGACTTCTAGATGGAAGATGAGTTCTGAGGCGATAAAGTCTTTGCAACCCCAGCTCCCTGTAGTGTGAGGGAGCCACAGTCTGTCATGATTTGTTTTGAATGTCTTGATTTCATGTATTTATTAATTTAATGTTAATCCATGGCAGGCAGACAGCAGCACTGGTATTTTCAGGTTGATTAAGCCTGTGGAAACATTCATGTCTTTAAAGCAGTAACCACTATTTCCACTTGATGTGTTTTTATCATGTTTTAACCCTGTGTTCTCCTGCTGCTGTGCCCCTAATGCCTCACCTTAAGGACTGTCCACAGTTCCAAAGCACAATAACAGCTCCCCCCGTCTCATCATGGACATGTCTGTCTACAAACTTTTCCGCAGATGGCTCGGTCTACAGGGCAGATTTCTGGAGGAGGAGATGCATTTTGGACAATTGAGATTTCTCCTGAGACTACTGCACAATGCTTACTGGGTGGATTACACACCCAAGTCATTACATGAACACTTCATGTAACGAGTGGTATTAACCCCGAGTGGATCTGCTCAAACAGGAAATGCTACGGACAGCGACCAGACAAATGGAGTTTCACGTCTGTGTTGGACTGACTTCTCTGTTCTGATATTTATTATGCACATTTCAATAAAAACACCCAGTGTGTCAAAGGTGTCAACTGTTTGTGTGTATGTCCATAAACTACACTTTATGTGAACAGTGTGTCCATCTTTTAGAAATGTTTAAGGTCCATTGTAGGATTTAGGGGGATCTGAAATCAGAAATGGAACTAATATGTTTCCTTTAGTGTATAATCACCTGAAAATAAGAACAGTTGTGTTTGTTACCTTAAAATGAGCTGTTTGTATTAACATATGGAGCAGGTTTTCATCACGGAGTCCACCATGTTTCTACAGTAGCCCAAAACGGACAAACCAAACACTGACTTGAGATAGGGCTATTTGCATAGTTAGAAGCCCATCTGTGACAAGCGGTGTCAGAAAAACACAGATTTTTAACATTAAACTGCTTTACTTAGTGTTTGAATCAGCTGATCTGTCTGTTTCAGAGAAGAAGAGACCTCTGTGAATAATTCAGCTGCTGGTTAAACGTCCTAGGCCCCATTTCCCAGAGCCTTCGTAGCGCTATGTGCATCGTAAGTTGTATCTTAAGGTCTCTCTTAAGTTTACGGGCTGTTTCCCAGAGTCTCCTTAGTGAAGCTATATCTTCCGAAAGGTATAGGGTGGTCTGAACCACTTGTAAGCTGTCCCTTAGTGATGTGCTCTGTTCATCCTGTCACAGTTTGAGCTTTATTAGGCCAAAATTATGCTTTTTAAATGGACAGTTGCAGTATAATTCACATCTAGACTCCTTGCGCAAATTACATCATTAGTTTAAAATTAACCATGAAAAATAATAATGAATTTTGAATATTATGAATATACAGATTTATTTATTTATTTATTCATCCATTCATTCATTCATTCATTCATTCATTTAACGGAGCTAACTAACTTAGGATATCTTTTTTCTGACGAGACCACAGGCTGTACCCTCCCACTATATACTGAAAATCTGACAGATACTTGACAAATTGATCAAATTGAAGTCTAATGAGGCACGCTGGAAACTAATCAAGCGGGCAGCACCAGCTATATAGGCGATCAAACGCGTCGCCTCTGCTTGCTTCATTGTAGACAAGATTATGGCTGCATTACAGAGTATCGTTGCGCTCAATCAACTGAACCAAAGGCGTCGCCATCTGCATAGACATTTGGTTCATGTTACCTGTGAGCTCATATAGGCTACATGAACCAATCCCAGTGCGCAATACATTAAATTGGTAATCGCATGCATCTGCGACAGGGGCGTAAATATAGACAGTGCAGGCGGTGCAGTTGCACTGGGGCCCATGGGGTGGAGGGGCCCGACTGCCACCTGGAAATACGCCCATGTTCAAAGAAGAACTCACATTAAAACAAAAATGGTGCTATTTGCCATACATGCCCTAAATAAGGCAAACCCATCTCCATCATGGTTTCCTGGTTTATTATAAACTTATTCTACATAAACTATTTAAAAAACTATAATTTACCAATAAAAAACTATCAAGTTAAACTAATAATTTCCTATTTTCTTTTGTAGATTTGTCTTATACAGATATGTAATGATGATTGCTGGTAATATGTATTACTAGAAGCGCCAGTAAGACACACTGTGTCACCTAAAATATATACACCTAAAACTGTGTGTGTGTGTGTGCTTCATAACTTGTAACTAGGGCATAATAGGGCCCCTCATAATAGCGTGCACTGGGGCCCATTGTAACTACCGTATGCCACTGACCTGCGATTAATTACGGCACACACACACACACACACACACACACACACACACAGCAATGAAACATGGATATGCTGCTGCTACAGGTGCCTATTGTGTGACAACAACAGATTTGCAGTCTGTACATTGACAGAACTGATGTGGGGAAACTTATATGTACGACACAAACTGGCATTGAACGGCAATGATGGAAAAAGAGAGACAAACACGTATGCTGTTATAAATGTTTCAATAACAACTGGTGAGCAGAAATCACATTTCTCTGCTTCATCATTAGTCTCCTTGTTTATAATGGGATGCGCTTGTAAGTCATTTTTTAATGTGATATGCTTCAGGCGTATTAGGACAGTGATTTTTCCTGAAAAAGTGCCAAAATGCTCGTCTGGACAGAAATTTTGTTTTAAAGCGTTGCTTTTAAAAATACCCGTGTATGTGTGGACTAGGCTTCAAATAGATAATCAGATGTTCTGTAAAAGGCATAGCCTCTGTTATGATATCATTTTTGATGGAGGTAAAATTATTATGGCAATACTTTTTATATTACAACCTCATATATTTACCTTTATATGAGATAATAAACTTTAAGCACCGTGGTGAAGGACAGCTCTAACTTATGATGTAGCCTACCTTTGCAGCTCTCCTTACGAACACCCTAAGGGACAGTGTGGAAAACACTCATCGGAAAAGAAGTCCCTTACCTAAGGTAGCCTATATCTTAGAGACCTTTGTACTTTGTACTAAGGTACATCGAAACTGGGAAACGGGGCCCTGATCATTTTGGGCCGTATTCACAAAGCTTCCTAATACAAAGAGTTGCTTCTTGTGACAAAATTCTAAGAAAATTCTTAAAATTGTGAGGTTTTCTTAGAATTTTCCCCTAAAAGTTAAGTCTAGGTCTCTGCAAAAATTAAAGTTATTCACAGAGCATCTTAGACCTTAAGAGAGCTCCTATGGTGAAAAACTGTAAGGAGTAGGGAGGAGGACCTTTAAGTCGCTGAAGAGTTTATTAAGCAGAAGAGAAAATGGTGGAAACACAAAGAGGTCGGAGAAATATTCTCACAACGCTGGATGACAGTGAGTAAATGAAATGCTACAGATTAGATTGTGCCGGGATAATATGTGTGGTTGATGTCATTAGGGATACACACACATTTTCTACCTAACGCTGTAACGCCAGAAACAAAATAATCACAACACTAAGATATTTGGAACACTGGAGAAATGCAGCAGTGATGACCTGAGTCTGTCTGCACCTTCCATCAGCAGAGTGATCTTTGCTCATTGCGTTCAAAAAGTTCTATTTTAACTTCACCAGGACTTGTTTCCAAAAAGCATCAGATTTGTTTACGTTTCTTTGCGAGCTTCTAACATTGAATTTTGTAGTGAGGACACAGGAAATGTTTTCCTCTGATGACTCTTCCATGAAGGTCATATTTGTACAGGTGTCACAGTAGAACAGTGCACCACCACTTCCAGAGTCTGATAAATCTTCCTGCAGGTCTTTTGCAGTTCAACAGGGGTTTGGTTTTGCCTTTCTAACAATCCTACAAGCAGCTCTCTCTGAAAGTTTTTTTTGGTCTTCCAGACCTCGACTTGATCTCCACAGCTCCTGTTAACTGCCATTTCTTAATTATATTATGAACTGAGGAAACAGCGACCTGAAAACGCTTTGCTATCTTCTTATAGTCTTCTCCTGCTTTGTGGGCATCAGTTATTTTAGTTGTCAGAGTGCGAGGCAGCTGTTTAGCAGAGCCCATGGCTGCTGATTGTTGGGACAAGGTTTCAGGGGTTAGAGTATTTATAAAGCTTTGTAAGTTACATCACCTGGTTTTTCTTAATGGTGACTGAACAAGCAACAAAAATAATACACTGATCTTGCTTAAAATGTTGAACAGAAGTTTCATCTTTAATTTAAGGCCTTTTGGAGATCAGTTCATCTTCTGCTTACTTAATAATGGACAGTTAACAAAATTTTGACCAGGTGTGCCCAAACTTTTCCATGCCACTGTATCTGAGCTGGCTATGATGTTAATAGTTACTTTAGAACCCATAGTAGGAAACAAGCAAGTTAAACTGCTGTAGGTTTGACAACATAACTAATAAAATAAAACCTCACTTTGACAGACAGGGTAAAGATACATACAAAGTTCTTCTGCCATTGAACTTATTATGACTTGTTTTAAACCAGTAATTAAACAATATGGTGTGATGATATATAAATCTACTGTTAAAGTCAACTTGATTCACCACTTAATGGTTGTATGCCCCACCAACCAGTCAAGTTACAGTTTACATCCATGTCTGTCCAGACTCACATGTAGCCATGACAGTAGACAAAGCTTCAAATATAGATGTTGCTGCAAAGAAGCTACAACATGGATGTTTCACACACATCTTCAACTCTGCAGCACAAAAGATCTAAACAATCAGCAGTTTCAAGACTAGCATCACCAGTTCAGTATGTCTCCTTCTGTTCCTGAGTTATGATGTTTAATAACAGTTTTTGCAGAACATTATGATGTCACAGTGAAGCTCACCTTTGACTTTTCAGATATAAAATGTCATCACTTTATCATTTTATCTTTTTAGACATTTGTGCGAAATTTTGTTATAATTATCATGTGAATTCTTCAGTTATAGCCAAAAACATGCAACAACACTGCAAAAATGACAACAGTCTGCTCAGGAGCAGTATTTTGAAACCATTACAGGTTATCAGGGTTTATTACATAATCCATTATAACAGATGTTATTTCTGCTTTATTGTGGTATACTTCAGCCAACTGTGGTGACAGGTAAGTGGGTCCCCAGAAATAGTGCACAATAATAAGTTCATATAATGACAATAGTATCAACATTATAACTGGAACAGTCCAAAGTCAACAAATATTACCTGGCTTGTTCACAAAGACAATTAAAGCTACTGACAAATATGTTGCCAAGGGTTCAACCTGATGCACACTCCCCACCAGCAAACACTGCCAGGAGGATTGTTAAGTTGAGAACACTCCGGCGCCACTGTAGCACATCTCGTGACACACGTCAAGTACCCTCTTAGCACACACTGGACGTGTCGCGCTGCGGCTCATCAACAGATGATATTATATTTTTACTGAAAGATCTGCACTTCCTCCACCTTTGCATTAACTTAAAATTATGTGTGGACAGCCACTAATTAAACTTGAACCGGAGAGCCAATCTCCAGAGCTGTGAGTCGCCAGGCAACATCTTTTTGGTCATTGTCTTTATAATGACAGGATTGTGGGTCGTTTAGCTCAGGATATTTCTCAACCTCAACAAGTCTCTCCATCTATTTTCCATCACACACTAGACAAC